ACCAGGCTACAACAGGAACAGTTATGGAGAAACGATATATTACCGCTATCTACTGAAATGAAAAGCTCGAGTGGTCAGATCGATAATATGAGTGTCACATGGATACGACAGTTTAAGGAGAAGAAATATCCTTGACAGCCGACATATAGAATACCGATGACATAAGAGCTGAGAATGGCAAAGGCATATCTGATTGATAGAGCCCGGGAAATATGAGGGGGTGGCAAGAATGAGTTAGATAACCTTGCCACGCTGAAGAGAACCCCTGAAGATTGCAGGAGACCGCGAGGTACTCGTAAGGGCAAAGGGATTTATAAACGGGGCTGCTTACGCACGATGAAGGATTTCTCATGGTTTTCTCCTCCCCAACACAAGGACCAAAAAAGATTATTACACGTAGTAATTGACTTCGCTGTGCACCCACATCGTCAGTGGCCATCATCTAATCCATTTGACCCATCGTCGATTCCTGTCTGCACCAGACCAAGTCACTCGTTACAATGAGAGAGCTCTTAACCTAGAGCTCTGCTAGACTGGACGAGAGTCTGACTGGCTAATTATGGCTGAACAGAAGGGACGCGTTGTGGTGCAGAAACAACCTGGCTTGCCTGCCACTTCGTCGAAGCACATGCGTGAGAAACGCTTGGTACGCTCGATGACCTACCATAAATACGGATGGAAGTTTTTAATATTGAATGCGGCAGCCGCCACCTACCTGTCAAGGGTGCCAATGTATATGGGTTGCCATGTACCGTAACGTCGCAGCTACATGAACATCTTTAAACCCAGAATCACTGGCCAAGTTGTTTGCTCGGTGAGCAACAACAGGTTCTTGGAGGCTTTTGGCAATCTTTCCTTTCTCCATATCGATGCTGCCAACTCTCCTAGAGGACACACTGACAAAACCAAGACAAACGCCAAATCTCAACAGGTTGGACTACAGGTAGCATTTTGGTGAAAGCCACAGACCCGGAGACAGGCGAGAGTCCAGAATACTTGATTGGAGATATGAGGAAGGAATCACAAAAGGTAACAAAACGGCAGAGTTAGGCAGGCCAGTAAGTATGCTGGTGGAGTCCTTCATGTATTATCAACGCCGGGGGAATGACATGATGTTGGCCCATGACCTCTTGAAACTGTAGTGGAAAGCTGAATGCTGCTTCCAATCACAACAAGTGCTCGACACCTTCCTCTCTAAGACTCAGATCGACACAGTTGTTGTCGGCCGAGTACTGACCGTGGCCTCCTTATCAACTAGAACAACAGCACAAGTCTGCTCCTGTGATCACCATATATATGCGGCCCCCAGTGTACGATCCGATTTCGATATGGCTCTTTGACCTATGGCGCACCTCGCCTCCTTCACTTGCAGCTGCCCCCTTATTTTCCTATATCAGCCCATCTAGTCCGCCATTTGACAACCTGCTCGCCAGTAAAAGTGGTGTTCCTCGAAGTGAGACATGCTGAATTCGCCTGTCTAACCACCTACAGAAATCCCCTTTATAATGCGGAACAAGTGGCTGATAAGCCCGCTCAACGTCCTCTGCGCTTCAGGTGACAGGCTATCTTGATCTGTCGTGTCAAACTTCCTTACGTCCATGAGCCATTCACGCGCATGTCGGCATCATTAACAACTCTAGGAAACGTGACACAGGCGGTGAGCCGTGGAGATTTACAGAACTGCTATCTTGGACAGGATGGGAGGATGAGAAAAAGCCCAAGTTTTTCAGGTTTGTCACCTTCCCTAGAAGCCCTTTCAAGCTTACGTCATGAAGGAGAATAGAGATGTCATAGTCAGTTGCTTACTGGGTTTGTCGCTATCGCACAACGCGTGGCACAGGTACGAGTTACACTGCCGAATGGCTGGGATTTGGAGTTAGAAGGTCATAAAATATGCCTACAGTTGCTGGGTCTCAAACAACGGTCCATCAACGTGAAAATGGGTACCTCAACCAGTGCTCGAGGCTAAAGAAGCAATTCGGACTTTCCATATCGGGGTTTCCGACCAACCCCTGAGTCCAGTCCGACTATATGGCTGGCTTCTATCCCTCTCTCTTAGCTATCCATCGCAGCGGCAACGGCCCGCTGGCCGTTCTCATGTGAAATCTATCTGTTGGACAGGGCTTCCGTCGCTGTCGACAGCAGGAATGCCATTTCCAGCCATACTCTTCTCCGAACCACTGTTAATTCGCCATGGAACAAGGGTCCCAGTCCTCGTCCAATATGCGTTCCGGCCTACACTGTCCCGTAATCTTGCCCTACCCTACTATACCGCTGCCATGGAGCCCGTTCCTCGTTCGCAAGATTCCCGAGGCCTTTCCACCCATGCACCCGATGGCTGATGCAAGATTCTGTAGAAGGGAAACCAAACGATAGAGAGGGAAATCAGACAGCTCATCTTTACCCAGCGGACTGTCCAGAAGCAGAAGCAGGCCGTTACTAAAAGCACACGCAGAAGCATGATGGGCGCCTCGTGGTAGGCTAGAGTGGCGGTCAAGAAATTAACCATCAGACGGAGCCAGTCATGGTAGCGTTGATGGGGTGATGAGCGCCCAGCACAAGTGAGCACAGCGTCGAGGGGAGGGAGGCACAAAGGGGGCTGGCTCCCTACGTCGTCTACCCTGCTGGCTAGGCAGTAGGTCCCTCGAGGTTCTGCCCCAACTCTTCATACGGCCAAGCCAAGGAGATGAATGGACGCACGGACGACTGGGTACATAGAGATGGGCCGAGCCGCAAAGCATGCGTATCGGGGAGAATCCGCTGATAACTTCCCACGTTTGACGTGCGTTTGAGTCAGCCACTCTTCCCCAGACTTGGGACCTGGTCGCCTTTTCTTGGCGCTTAAGAAGGCAACCAGCGGGATGCTTCAAAAGGGACTTGAGAGTGCGAGTCCTGGACTTGCTCGTGCACTTAACTGGTCCGTGGAGATAGCGGTAGCTTAGATAAGGGCTTACGGGCGATAGAAAAATGACGTCGTCGCCAGGCTTTGGGGTGACCACCCCTTAATCCTCATGTCCTTCGAATGGGGCTATGTCGTTTACATCTACACCGCACAGTCTATCTATACCAGCTTCAGGAAGAGCAGCAGTGTTGACAGCTTGCCCTCAGCCACCCATACACGTCCAAATTAAACCTATCAGAGTCGTTGGCCGTAATTTGCTGAAACGAACCATTCTGCGCCGCCCACGATGCTTCTCGGCGCTGTGCAACAGTCAAAGGTGTGTCGGACTGTAAGAAGACGAGGCAACCTGCCGTCGGCCAGACCTGCAGGGTCTGCAATTACCCTTCCACGAGCAAAGCGGATCCAACATTCTGGGGGCGGATCGGAATAGTTTCCGGTAGAAGCTTGGTGTTTTCCTTGAGGAAAGGAGATAGCTACCTATGTAGAAGATGGGACTGTGCCATAACCAATTTAATTTGATGCAAGAGACTTTGAGATAGGTGTGAGTAACGCCCGTGAGAGTAATTGATCTATCAGTATCCATTCCGGGCAAAAAGACAGCGGGATCATTGATTCTTCCCAGAAGCCGAACGTGGTAACACACAAATATGAAGGGCCCAAGGAGACCAAGCAGGGTACAAGTCTAGCCGGGGCAGATACTTAAGACAGGCAAGGATGGTTAGACAGACTGGGTCGGTGGCAGATGATCGTCCGTCTGATCAAGCGTAATCCAACCTCGGTACTGTGACTCTGTTCCCTTGACCCTCCAAACATTGTAAGTGCCGACATCCCGTCACGATGACTGAGCCATAAGGCATGGCTAGAGATGCGGGTTCTCGCATTGGCGGCATCACCGATTCAGTCGGTCATACTGTTCTCTGCGCCAGTTCGTTGGACATATTGACGGTGTGCAGGACCAAATATCTTTGTGACTGTTCAGAAATCGGCCTTCCCTCTACAAGAAAGGCTGAGAAGCTACAGCTGCAATACGTCCGTTAACCTCAATGTCTCCCGGCAGGGACCTTTGCGCGTAAACAGAGACCACAAGGGGAAGTCGAGCCCAATCCCATAGCATCCTGCGGCCTGTTTGTAGAGTGATAGCTGCAGGTAACCGCGGGCTTAGTGATCCTCGAAGCGGCACTCGTCGTCACCTTCTCGAAAGATTCCATGATCGTGACGGATGCGGACGCAAATAGTGGCATGAGTGAGGAGCAAGGCAAGATGAACACATCCAGACTCGATCCCTCGAGCAGGCAACTTGCGCCCTCGGAACGATATCCTGTGGCACCATGTGTGCAGTATTAGGTAAGTAGCTACAGGCGGCGATGCTTCTAAGAGCCATTAGCACAATGGCAACACTGACGGGCTATGGCGCGGAGAAGTTTTACCTACTATCTTCCTGAATACACTTGATGTTAACTGATAGACATCCAACGTGCCAGTCAGGAGAGTGATGATGACAGGGCTATCCCCGGGCGGCCGAGCGACGCGGATATATCCCGAATTTTGAATGGTTTGGAACTTGACAGGTAACCGGGGTCAGGCTTGCAATGTTCAATTAAGTCTTGAGAGAAGCTTGAGATGTTCGATGTTGTACAGAAATAGCCCCGAACTGGCGGGGAAGTCATCCGGAAGCCGGCGGTGAGAATCTTGATGTCACAACCATGCTTGCTGGCTGTTGAACTCAAAGGCTAGTCATGCCATTGACGTGACAAACGCTGCGATCATGATGCCATCCAATCTGTTGAGCCATCTGAAACCGAGCGGATGTCACCTTCCATAGGATGGTTGGACGACTCTTGGGGGTGAGATGATGCCGAGTATCGCCTCGTATCTGGATGGAGGGTAGAGCTTCATTGGGAGTGCCAAGTCAACCAAGCTGACACCGACATTGGAAACCCCTTTCGTGTATAAGAGAGGCTAGCCCATCGTCGAAACAATCAGGCTCGAGCAAAGCATCTCATCCAACTCTCAAAGTCTCCATACCTCAAAAGATTAACCACTTGCTAAGCTAAACCAGACGCCTAGCCGCCAACAGCCGTCTTTTCTTTAGGACAATATGTCCTCCTCCACTTCTCAGAGTCAAAACAGTAAGATGATCGGGCTAAAAGCCATAACGAACTTTTGCTGACAGTGGGTTGTATAGCCACCAGGAACAAAGCCCCCAATTTTAGTGGCGGCAACAACAATGACAATGGCCACGCCAATGGCAACCAGGGTCAAGGCATGACCCGTGATAGGGCCAGGTCGATTCTCATCAGTGACCCAGCAGCATCCAGGCTGAGCGGACATACAGGCATCGACAAGTTCATCCGCGAGTCGGCCCGGGATGCTCCATGGAATCCTATTTGTGGCCGTAGGACATGAAGGATCGGGATCAACGGGTACTAACTGCCGGCCAGGAGAGGATTGACCGTTGAGATTAGACAGGGCAAGTCTGTCGTTCAAACTGATGCCATAGGTGGGTTAGGACCATGTGGCAAGATAGCTTGAGAGGTCGCATATCGTAGGAGTTTATGCATGGGAAGACTGTTTTCCTATGGTCAGATGGTGCTATCTGACTTCGTATTTGTGTTGAACATCGGTATGGACTTTGTCCATTGTTGGATGTCAGATTTAGCTAGGATTCATATGCTACTTCTTCAACTTCTGAGTCAATACTCACCTTCTGCAGTGATAGCAATTTGTGACAGATGTGAGACATCCTGCAGGCCCAGCATCGGAAGTTGGAATAAACTCTGGGTATCGTTATACAGGCTCCTTGGCATCGAGCATGGAAAGGGGCCAGGAGAGCCAGTGCGCCCAACGTGGCCCAAGGTATTGGGAAATGCTCCTGAGCAAGTACGACCCCGAATCGGCGATGTGCCACAAGGCCTTGCTGCAGTCAAGCAGCAATGCCCAATATCCCATAATGGCAATCGCTTCGGGGCGCTTCTGAGCCAGCAGCTCTGTAAACTCATGGGGCACAGCAGCAGGCCTAGCGAAGGGGTCACCCGGTTAGCACTCCGCCCATGTCTGCCTTAGACTTTCGCTACACTTACCACATAAAGACCATCAAATACTTTTGGTTTCGCTCGTCGGCCCCGAGCAAGCTATCGAACCCAACCTGCAGGAAGGCAATTGCCCTCATACAGGCCTCTTTGGAGAGGGGGTTCAGGGTGGTTGTCTCCTTAACCAGACGCTGCAGCTCGCTGCAGTGGGTGCCCTCGGGGGTCGATTGAGAGATATCTAAGGCCCATACTACCAGGTGTCTGATGTCCGACTGCAACAAAAGGTCCCAGGCGGAGACCGACATGGCTTTGAGGCCGCGAGAAATAGACAGAAACTCGAGAAAGTGGGTCAGGAAGATATCAAAATCGGCGTCACGCCTGGCTAGCAGGTCGGCGAACAGATGGCGACCAAGAAGCGAGCAGAAGAGCAGGAGGGCTGAACAGTTCGTCTGGTCAATCTGAGCTTTCGCGGCTGTCCCGTTGTAGATGGAGACAGCCTTGGTTTGCAGTTGAATGGCATGTTGGTGAAAATAATCCGCCCTGTGTGGTTCAAGAACTGCCAGGCGCCGAGCTGAGACGGCGAGGATCTGGTGCATCAGGTAGGGGGCTTCCAGGGCACACTTGAACAGAAGATTCGAGGAGAACTCATGCATCTCGACATTGAGCTCTGGAGCATGCTCCTCGAATTTGAAGCGTACGAGCAGTTCCATGTGCTCCATGTTGACCGAGACATCTGGGATACTCTGGCTTGGGCTTGCCGTGTCTCCCCCTCTCCCTGCAATATCAGGAAGCGGAACGCCGGCAACAGGAGCAGCCTGAGGATCGCTTGAATGAAGAAAGCCAGTTGCTGTGGTAGGTGGGAAGATGGCACTTTGTGATGAGCCATGCCCAACAGGCACCGGTAGTGTTGTACTTGGGATCGATGGTGACACAACCTGGGGTGATAGCGTCGTCGGCGATACCTGGGCAGCTGCCACGAGCTGTGAGGGGTAGCTGCATTCCCTTCCGGAAAGAGTACATATGATGCATTTGGGTCTCTGTTCGTCGCACTAATACCGGCCACTCCAGCAAGCGTGGATGAAGAGCCGGACGGGTTAGACTCGGGAGCTAAGGTGGAGTGGACACTGATAACCGAAAGAAAACAGAAACCAAGACGATGGGATGACTCGCCTTGACATGACGGCGTTTGCACTCTAGGCAACCAGCCCGAGACTTTTTGTGGCTCCTTCGCAGCATCTTTCTACGCTCATCGGTTCCAAGTGTCAAGGAAACTTTGGTTAGGTGATGTTCGAAGCCTCTCCATGACAAAGCTTGAGCTGACGTCTCAAAGGTCTTAACAGAGGAACATTACCTTATCCACGCACGCTTTTAAGTTACAACAAATGAAAGTGAGTGAAATTACATAGCCAAGCACGCTTCACCTTTGCAATTGGCTGCCGCCAAATTAGCTGCTGTGTCAACCAATATCTTGCCCCTTAGGAGCTCAGATGACTAAGCAGAAAGCCACCACAAGGCTGTGGCGCAGTTTCTGGCTCCACTCATTCCTAATGACGTCAGCTCCCAGCAGAGACAGGGAATTTAAGTCTAACACCCACTTCAAAGCTGTACCTCCTAAGGCCTATGTTGAAATCAGCCTGGTAACAAGCCAAAAAAATAGTAAAACCATTTATCGACAGCCTGCAACTGCAGACAAGAGTTGGCAGCTTCAAAGCAGCAGTGTGCCCACATCGTTTCCTCCTTAGGACCGCAGAACGAGCTCTGAACAGTGAATGCTAATCACCTAATTATAATGTCTCTCACGGATGACTTTGCTTTGCTGCACCCCACGCAGGAATTTTTCTATTCACAATGCACCAAGAGTGATCTTAAATCATCACATGCAATTGCAGGAAGCAGCAAGAATTATGTACACTTGCTGTGCTTTCTCAAATCTTGAGCCAAGCACTAGCAGAAAGGAAGTTGTTATCCGAATACCTCTGATGTCTTCACAGATCGTTGTCAAAGACGACTGACTTAATGCAGTAGTTTCATGGTGCGAGCCACTTGTACTTCCATGAATTCAACAGTAATGCTGATATTTGCCCTTCCTTAGGTCAGTCTGATGTCCCTGGTTACTTGCTTATTCCTGCTGCAGAACACTATACAATGGAAACAGCTTATGAGACTTAGCAGCGAGTCCTCTCTTCCATTTCCCCATGGAAGTCCAATAGAAAGCAATTAGCATGGGAATGCAACAGTGACTATGCATACGCCATCGAAAACAATGGCCGTTAAAAAGGATACTACGACAACTCTTGAGGCATCATCCAGTCCAATGACCTTGAGGGCTGTTGCTCACCCAGCAATGCATTGCCATACGATATTTTACCCATAGCTTCGTAGAGCATTGCGCTGAGTGGTCATATACTAGCGTGGGCATCTCAACTCCAACCTCCAGCTCCACAACAATGACCAACACCCGGACTCCTGTCATGACCAGCCCTCTGGAAGTGGTGAACTCCTCTCTCTCATGCGGAATCAGGTCTTGAGACTGGGACCACAATGGATGGGAGGACACGTTTTGGAGAATTTTCCATCAAAGTTCCCAATCATCGTTCACTGGGCTTCTAGCCGAAGGCACTGCTCAGACTACTGCATCCCTTGGTGAGGGGGGGCAAAGTGGGGCCCGAGCGATGACTCCGACTAGGAAGCCAGAGCGACCTCCAAACGGATAAGGAATTGGGTGTTTCCGAAAGCAATGGTAATAACAATGCCCACGAGAGAGTGTGTTCCAGCAGTGAATGCAGTTTGGATCCGAGCATTTGCAACTTCAGGAGGTCAGTCTACGACGGGAAAGAGGAATCGAATTCTGAGATTCCAAACCAGTATACAGCAGTGATCAAGAATCCGTTAGGCTTCACGAGGAAGATCATCACGATGGTCGAGCCTGAGACTATGATAATATCTCTGGGTTTGGGTCGAGCTACGTGTACGGTTCGGACTCAGACTAGCCGAATCCATGATCGTCCGAGATTCTAGGAAGTGCAAGGACATTTGGCAGGCACCTAACATTTAAGATTGCAAGGCATTCACTACCCCACAAAAACCCATCAACTTCCGATCAAGCATGCCTTAAGGGATCGCATAGTGATACGATGGAGTCTAGTCTTTGAGAAGCCGATGGGAGCACAGAGAGACGAGGGTATTTAATTTGACAACATCCGCTTGACTACTACACAAATATCCTAATAATACATAGCACAATGACGACCTGCAGGTCCTATCTCTCTCAATTCCATGTCAAATTCACCGCCATGACATCCAATGCACCATCTGCTCATTTAATGCCTTTGCAGCGTAATCTCACCTGGCTTAAAGAGTCGACGCCAATCCAATGACGCTCCCTGCGACCAAAAGCGTCGTCCGACCCAGATTCAACAACCCCCACAAATCAACCAAATACTTCGCCCCCGTCGCCCACTGCACGCTGACCTCCCCCTCCTCATCAGCCCCAGCCTTCCCCTCAACTTCCTCCTTATCAAACCTCTCCTTCAGCTCTATCAGCTTATTATTCGTTTTCCTCATGAACGCAATCGTATACGGGATGATTCCGATCGTCAGCGCCGCAGCAGCGAGATAGCCTCTACCGGCGGTCCTCCCCGCAGCGGTAGTGAGAAGGACCTTGAGAGAGCCGGCGCGGGATGCGGCGAGCCAGATATATGCTGCAGCGCTGACAACTGAGGCAAGAGGCATGGTCGCAGCACCAAGGCGGTAGGTAGACAGCCATTGGCGAAGCATCACGGGAGTTGGAGACTCCAGGAGGCGTGGGACAAGAAAGGTGGACAGGGTGAGCGATACACCAGTGGAGACGCCTGAGATGAGGATGGCAGCGCCTTGAGTAAGACGGACGGGAGTTGAGTCAGGTGACATGGCTGTAAGTGGTGATCACTTGAGTTCTAGTGAGCGTTGATGGATGAGATGACGGTGAAATTAGAGAGCCGTTTGGCCTGGGATATAAGTTGCCTTGGTGGGGGGAAATGAGCCTCTGTCCGGATTGGCTGGGAGGAAGGCGAACTGTCGGGATCAAAAATATACAAGATCGTCAACGAGATGTAGACGTTTGCGTGGGGGATGTCCGACGACGTCATCTGAGCTAGCACACGCCAAACAGGACGGTCAGGCGGCGGGCCACTGTGTGCCGAACCATCTTGACAGTTTGGCGCAGGGACCCGCTACCAGATCCCCTGAGCGAGTTTCCAGTGGGCGTTCTTGGGTACTGATACGGCTGACCGTAACGCGGTGGGCTCCTGTAATTTGAGTGGGAAATTTAGCTCGCTATTGGGACTAGACATCGGTTAATCTAATGGCCCGACTTCCAATCACAGCTCCTCGTCGGCGCCCATCTGCCTTACATTTTGTTTGCGTGTTGGCCCTCATAAAGCCGCCTTCCCTCGCGACTCGAAAGGCAAGAAGAGGACCAACAAACCAGCGGCAATGAACAACCCCCCGCTAATATACACAGGAACGGCAGTATTCAAATCGGCAAAAATGGCGACGAGCGGCTATTGCATGTCCTGCGTTAGCGGAAGATCCAAGCATACCCGAGGTGGTCAAAGGAACTCTTAAAACATACCGCCATGATTCCAAACACCCGGTTACATGTCGCGCTCAGAGCATTCCCGGTGCCCCTCTGTGGTGTTGGAAACAGCTCGGGGGTAAAGCTGTAGAGCACAGCATACATGATATTGCTGGTGAAGCTGTATGCGCAGTTCCAACCCAGCAAGGCGTTCGAATTCACCGCCGTCGTAGACGCGTACAGGAACGCCCCAGTAAGCACCGTCGCCAACGACAGCGTGCCCTTTCGGCCCAGCTTCGGTTGCTCAACCAGCAGGGCGCCAACAAACGCGCCTGGTACTCCAACAGCCGCGATGATAAGTGAGTCCCGGTATGTTAGGTACGTCGATCCATCGCCAAAATCAAGGCCGCGTGTTGCTTGGATGTAAGGGAGGAATGAATTGTAGAGGGGGTACCTGCCTCGACATCAGCCTTCGGGAAGCACTGGTCTTATCTTCTGTCGACAACCTACCCTAAACCTATAAACGCCCAAATGGTCATCATTAATCCCGTCGATAGAGCCAGCTGTCTTGTGCGAAACAGAGCTCGCACCCTCTCTGCCTTGAGAACCTCGAGCCGACGCCGGAGAGCCGACGACACCCCTCTGTGTATCACATACCCCTCTGGCTCACACGCCCTCAGCTCTTCGACCGTCAGGGTGCTCGTCTTGCCATTCCTTCTGGCTACCTCATGCACAACCTTCACGGCGTCCTCGTCCTTTCCCTTTCCCATCAGATATTTGGGCGACTCATGCATTGTGAACAGCACAAACCGCGCCAGAAACATCAACATCGTCATGCCGCCCATGACAAGCAAAAACCATCGCCACCCCATATTGTCTTTCTTCTCACACCGTGTGTTCGGATCCTCTTCTTGACACGTCATCCTCCCAAGCAAGGGCCACGCGAGAAGTGTGGCGACCACTTGTGCAATTGCCCATGCCGCTGACAGCACGGTGAGCAGGTATTGATGTGAGGCCGGCAAAAATTCGAGGAATATTGCTGAATCGACAGGAAGATTCCCGCCCACACCAAACGACCAAGCTGCGACGAGAACCGACGCAGCCGCAAATGACGATGACCCTGCTGCCACGAGGCCAAAAACTCCCGTTGCGCCTAATGTCAGACTGAACGCCCAGCGTCGGCCGAAAGCGTCACTGCCGAAGCCCCAGAAGAGAGCCCCGAGTAATAGGCCGATGCTCTGACCCAGCGTGAGAAGTGGGGCGATACGAGACGCGTTTGGGGAAGGGCCGAGGAACTCTACTATTAAAGGAGGGAGTATCAGTGATGTCGTGACGGGCCAAAGGTTGTCGGAGGCCCAGCCGAAGGAGATGACAACGAAGAGCTGCCATTGATAGGCACCCATGCCGATTTGTTGGATCTGAGAGTACGTTAGGACGTGCGCCTCTTTAAATTCCGCCACTCCTACTGATCCGAGGGTAATCACCGATTGGTAGGGCCTTACTGCGCGGTTCAACACTTTAGCCTTCTTCTCGTAGACAGGATCGATTTGACCGGATGGGATAGCCGTATCCTCATCCTGAATGGCTACTGACTCGCCGTCTTGCACGTCGAACGGGATAGGGGAATTGCTCAGCCCCAGGGCGGCGTTGCTGCTGCTTTTGTAGGCATTTACCATGGTGACCAACTCGTCCACTGCTCGTTATTGCTACTGATTGAAGAATGCGGGCCGATGGTTGAATTTCCCTCGCTGCCGGGGGGGAGAGGGGTTTGTATTACTGAGAGCGTGTGTACTGTCTGTAAAAGCAAATGGGAGCCAATCTCCCCATCACACAAGTTCGGGCCACAGACATTGTTGCGCCCCCGAGCAGCGCAATGAGACCTAAATTGTAAGTCGTACAGCCTTATGGGTGAAGTATCGCTTTAGTGTCCAGAGGATTGTTGCATTAAAAATGAAAACGCCTTATCAGCTTCATGAGATGAGTAAAACTCTAATGGGAAGGCTAAATCCGGTGTGTGTGTGTTCGGTTGATATGGTGTTCCTGGACCACTGATGTCATCGCAGTCTAGTCGAGAGGCAAGAGCAACGACCAACTAGTGACAGAGCGCCAATGCCCTTCATCTTCAAGGCTAGTACCGACGCAATTTCCTTCCGGGCAACCATGACTGTCTGGACCATTGTCAATCGGTCATTGGTGAACCAACCCCCCGAGAATCGCAGTTGCACTGTTTACATTAAATCCCCCAGACATTTATTAAAGGGGGGTTTCCACGTCAACAGGCTGAATGTGGGGCTGGTAATCCGTATCAGTACACCGTCTCGTCAGATGTATGGCAGCTCATTGAATAGTGATGACAGACCTCGACTTTTCTTCCTAGGTCTATGAGCTTCGTGTGAGAGGCTTTCATGTGGCCTGCGATACCATCTTCATCTTGTAGAAACCCACGTGGTGGTTGCTTTTCCTTTACTTCCGACCGCCTCGACGCCTTTTCGTTGATTCCTTCATCCCTGACCGACCACCCACCTGCTGCGTAAAGACGCATAGGAGACGCGTGCTATACCGCGACTTCTTACCTCTTGCTCTTCCCTCCTCGTTCTCACGTCTGTCCGCACGACATCTCAGTTCTAGCGTTGGAAAATACAATCGACTCGAATCTATGTAGTTGCAACTATGGTTTCCATTAATGGCTGGCTGCAAACCTCGGAGAATTTATATCGCAGTCTCCGAACTAGCTCAATCGAAGAAAGCTTCCACGATCAACTTCGGGACTGGACACTCCGCCGCGCTCTCTGAAGATAAACAAACAGGATGCTGACAGAAATGGCCCTAATTATCTCCATTCGAAATAGACTACATTTGTCGGCATATATCCTGCTATGCCACTTATCTCTCGCTAATCTCACAAAACTTCTGACTGACCTACCTTCTGTTAGCGGCCAAGCATCATGTTTTAAAAATAGAGGATGACGAGGAAAGGGATGGTGATCTTATTTCATCATCATAGCTGACCACTCAGGACCATGAATGGATTAATTTCGGGACTATCCGTTACCAACGCAGCCCAATTTAAGCCTTTCCTTTTTTTTCTAGCTGGCCGTAGAAGGTCTCAAGGACATCCACCAGAGGACCACAAGGCGGTGACCTTGATGCCCTCGTGGAGAAGTTGTGGCGAAATAGAGACAAACGGCTGGATATATGGCTGCTGGAGGAAGGCGATACTGCTCGGCTGGTAACGAGGGAGCAGATGGATTCCATTGCAGCACAGAAGGCGAAGATTACTCTGAGAAATGGCTGACAGCTATCTCCTTGATGATCTCGGGAAAAGGGCGGGAAGTGCTGGGTGGCGATGAGTCTGACTGTGATGAGTCTGACGCAGTGTCTTCCGGTCAGTGGTTGTATACTAATACCTAATGCATTTACCTCGTTTTGTACGTTACACCCCTCCAGTACTGTCTATACCTGCTCTGATACATGATAGACACCGTGATCCAATCTTGACAGAGGACGTTGAGAGCTGTATACAACTGGCAGGTATTTGTGAGAAGACAGTTGATGAGGTTTGCTAACGACATACAGCTTATTAGAATAAGGGAATGAAGAAGAGACAATCTCGGTATGTTCCATACCTATGGAGTTATTGAAGCATATGATGCCTAGACAAAGATATTTCGATCTACGCTCGATTGTTATGAGAAGCATTCCCAAGTAAGCGTAGAGATAGGAGAGTCACTCATGACATTAACCACCCAACTCCCTTACAATACTTGGATAGGAGCGCTTCAAGGCTTCTAGCACCTCTCTATCCTTCCTTAACCGGTCAACTTCTTCTCGCAACCCCAAATATTGGTCCCTTAGTCTCAAATTTTCTTCTAGTAACCTGCCATTGTCAAGCTTGAGCCCGTTTATCTGCCTGTCTCTCATCTTCACGGCGTCTCTCGCCCAAGCCAAACTCTTCTTAATTCCGTTCTGTTTTGCCTCAAACTGGTTGAGACGAAAGCGGATCTTCTCCAGCACCCCAGGGTCAATTCGTTGGATGCTTGGCTTGAGGTCCTGCAGTATCTCAAAGGTAATCGCAGCATCATCATCTTCGGGTCGGGGACTGGCACGTACTTGGTGTTGGGCAGGCAACAATGGATCACGGCTGCGGATTGGCGTCGGAGTAGATGGCAGAGCCTGCTCATGGAACGTCTTGATTCGTTTTGTATTAGGCTGTCTTGTGGTCGATGTATTGGGTGTGGGCAGGTTGTTATACAGAATGCTAGGCCGAGGATGCCTAGGGGTATTCCAAGCCTCCTCGGTGGCCTTGGTCAACTCTATCAGAGCTGTCTCGTCCTCTGAATCTAGGAGATCCACTCCTACGGATTCATCTCCGGCCTTTCGTTTGCCCTTGGTCTGGGCAACATCATAGGCTGGAGGTGACGGGGGCACAACACCAGCTTCCCGGCAGAGGCGGTCCGCTTCTTCTTCCGGCAAGTAAAACATGCATTTCTGTCGTGCATTTGCGCTTTCATCAACTTTCTATCAGTAAAATAAGATCTGGAAAGAAGTCCTCTTAAGAGAGACTAACCACAACCAGTACGAACGGCTTCTACCACCGTCATCCCTTTTAATCTCGAGCTTTATTGCTCTCCGCGATGGTCTACAGGAACCTGTGGCGTAAGTTTGTCAACTGCGGCTAGGCAAAGCACACAAGTGAGAAAAACATGGTAAGAAAATGGTGTTTCCTCCATCGAATTAATCCGACGATACCTCTGAGTCCAGACTGCAAGACCCAGTGAAGAGCAAGATTCAGGGGGTGCGTCAAGAAAGGGAAGCTAGCATACAATACCATTCCCCATTTCTGAAATACCCATGGTTAAAAGTTGGCACTCTCTGTTTATCGTTGGTACTCATTGTAGCCATTCTGAAGACCAACAATTCTATGGCTAAAACAGCAGGCGTGGCTGGGATTCCGGAAAAATTAACCGACTGGCTCTCAGCAGACGGACATGATCAAAAGAGTGACGACTTACGGGGAGGTGGATCGACCTGAAAGTTAGGTTAAGACGGTTGAAGAGTCCCTGTCGCTTGCAAGCCTTATGACTGGAAAGCTTTCGGTTATTGCCTTTTCTTTTTCTTTTTTTTTTTTTGGTCTTATCTGCTCAAAGCGAAAGTGTTGAGCCAGTTATACTTGAGAAGGATGAGGACGCTTTACAGGCTTCGGCTTTAGCTAGGAAAACAGCCTGTATAATCCGACCGAGCAAACAAGCAACCAGGATACTTTTACAATGGTGTTGAGCCGGGGAAAAAAAGGGCTGAAGTATGCGCTAAAGAAAACGGAGAGTGCTTCAAGGGAACCGCATAAGTATTTAACGCGACAAGAGGTGAGGCCTGCCACCCAATTATATAGGACACGTCAGCCGATCATTGAGCGACTAATCCATTTTTTGAAGAGCTCTGCAGGATGCAGAATCAGGAGCTGCATGGATATAGGGTACCTGCTACGTGTCTAGGCGTCTATTAGGGATTTAGTACAGACATGGAAGGGGTCTACTGGCTCTCTCCTGTCATCAACTCACGGGATGCTCAAGTGGCAAGTAGCAGCACGTATTTTCTAGAATCATGTAGTCTACGGGTGCTGTGTAAATCCTGGCCTTGCAGAACATGATATGCCTGAAGTCCTAGTAGCAGCCACAACAAGAAGAAGTCAAGGCTTCTTTCTAACCGTGAGCCTCTGCCCACCAACCAGATACACAAGACAAAGAAAACAAGAGACAGAATCAGCTTGGACTAATGCATTGCCTGCATCTCATCACATTAAAAAAAAAAGGCAAGACTATAACAAGTCCCCTATACATGCATACACACAGGTACATCTAATAAAGCAGTGTTGATAAAGCATTGGGTATAAAATGGGTATACAAGAGGAAACAGTGCGAAGCAGGATCGCTAGCGCAGAAAACAAAGGATGAATGAATGAAGTGAAAGCCAACACTGCGCTAAAAATAAAGGGACTAAATCTCATAGAAGTAATCCTCATCCAGGCCCTCCCGACTGGGCACGATGCCAACGCCCTCGCGCTGCTCGGTGCCATACATATTCTCTAATCTCACATTCAGCAGTCGGATGCGCAAACCATACTCGCTCACCAGCGAGACCAACTTATTCGTCTCGGCCGTGATGGGCGCCTGGTTCAAAAGCATGAGCAGCCCGTCAAGCCACTCCGACGCCAGACTATGGCTGGTCGGGTAGAGCGTGAGCACGGGATGCTCCTTTCCACCTGTCGCGACAACATCTCCGTTGGCAGCGCCGTCAGTCGAGGAGGGATTGGATGGGTCGACGAAGCTGTAGATGGTGATCTTGGTCGTCGGCTTGATGGACATGGTGCCGTCGGAACGGCGCGTGCTCGCGACAGACTCGACGCCGTTAACATCGACATCCGGCTCGGAGCCCGGAGCAGAAACGTTGGATACAACACTACTTATAGTCCCCAGATCGATCTTCTCCGTGAGCACATCCAAGCCAGGATCATATGGCAGTTTCTCGGGGAAATCGGCATAGTGCAGATACCGGCGATTATGTGATAACTTTGCGAATCGCCACGGCTGGTACAGCCGCCTCTTCTGCTGCCCATTGTTGCCGTCTGTGGCGCGCGCTGGCGGCTGTGGTTTCGTAAACCAGCTACCTTGCAGCAGGCACCGTATGCGCTGCTCCTTGACAAACTGGAGCGCCTCGTGCTTGAGCTCCTCGCGCACCTGGTACAGGTGCGGACCCCACTGGTCCTCGAAGGCGTTCTCAAGCATTTCCATCTGCAGCTGCCGCAACCGCGGCGCGTCGTACTCTTGCAGCTCGTCTTCGACTTCGAGCACGTCCTTTGTGCGACTGGCTTGCCCGACGACCTGCTCAATCAACACGCGGACGAGGTCGGCGACCTTGTCGAAGTCGTCGCGCGTCGCGTTGGTTGCTTTCCATAGGCGGAAGAATGCTTGTAGGCCAGCCGTGTGCAGCCGTGACCATTGCAGCAGCAGCGGGCGGAACAATTTGTCGTAGGACTTGGGGTCGCTGAGGGCTAGGAATCCGCGGATATCCTCCGGTTCGGGCTTGTCGACTTCGAAATGCTCGTACAAAATCATGGTAACTGCCAGACTGGCTCTCGCGATCGGACACCGCTCGTTCAATGGGCGTGTAGACTGCTCCAACAGCAACTTCTGAAACCCATCCTCGTTTTTCCTCACAAAGTCGGTCAAATCCATCATGCCCAGGAACCCGGCCGTCTCGAACTCCGATGCAGGCGACTCCGTCTCGAACCCCAGCCGACGCCACTTCTCGGGATTATGCCTCCTGCTGCTCTTTTTCGTCGCATCATCCTCCCCGGCAGAAGTAGGAGGCGGCGCAAGCGTCGTATTCGACGTAGTCGGTGTGGTAGTCAAGGAAGCCACAACGCCGTTCGCATGCCTCCTATCCGGCGCACTAGCCAGATGGAGACCCTTCAGCGCCCGTCTATGCTCAGGCCTCTCCAAATCAACCCTGACCTCCCTCCACTTCCGCAGTAGGATCTTAGTAAGGTTCTGAAACTCCAGCAGCGGCGCAGCCAGGTCCTGGAGAGCTGAGCTCTGCAGCAGATTGTACACCGCGCGAATCAGCCCTAGGTCCTGCAACTTCTTGATGAACTTGCTCCATTCTTCACCTGTGCTGCTGCTACCGCCGGGGGCCTTGCCTCCATGTGCACCTGCCACGTTGTTGGTGGTTCCCCCATAGCCTCCGTCGCCTGACACAGCGTCGCGTATCAGAGCATTGACCAGCATCAAAGCATTTGCGCACAGCGCATGGTCGGCGCTCTGCAGCTGCTGGATGACCAGTTCAAAGAACTGCGGGTAGACCGCGACGGCAGGCTTGAGCGCACGGAAGCCGTATGTACCAGGGGTGCGGATAGCACCAGCCGACGGGGCAATCCGCGAGCCATTCCCAGCCGGGTCAGAGGGAAACACAGGCGGCGGAGCCGGCGGTGGCGGCACAGACTGGGATCTGCTGACGAGGGAGACGAGGATGGACATGGCACCGCGAAGGATGTTGACCAGCGGGTTAGTGACGATGAGTTCGACGACCCGCTCGACAAGCTCGCCCGACCCGGCACCCTCGAAGATCTCCCAGCCCATGTCGACCTCGAGCAGACGGGTCAGGCTCTGCAGCGAGTAAGCGAGGGTGTTGCCGGACGTGGTCATGATCAGACGACGCAGAAGGGCTAGGCCGCCGGAGGAGATGAAGACGTCAGCGAAGGCGGGATCGTTGATAGACGACTGCAGCTTGAAGACGGCCATCTTGCGAGAGGCATCCTCGTCGGACGCAAGGCGCGCCAGAAGCGCGGGGATGTCGGATTGGTCCATTATCGGAGAGTTTGGTCGTTGTTGATGCTCGAGTTCGAGTCTTTCTCTCGCGATGGCGCCGCGGCCCGTGTGGGCTGCTTGCGCCGGATCAGACAATGGGTGTCAGTGGTGGTTGCTTGGTCGGGGTATCGGTTGCTGATTCAACTGCGATATTTTCGACGCGACTTATGTTCCAGCATGCCACAGTCGATGGGATGATCAGCTCGAGGACTGGCGATGGTGAATGTTTGTCGAGGAAAAAAAAAAGATTTTGAGGAAGCGGGAGTGAAAGTGTATTTGGGAAACTGCAGTTCGCAGCTCGAAAGCTCCTGTCCACCCCTGTCGCGCCCCTGTCCCAATGGACACGCTAAGGTTGTGGAGCTCCAGCCGGGGTGTGGGGCTGTGGGGTTATGTATCGAATGTGGGGCGTTTCACGAACCGCGAGCCTGTCGTCTCCATCATACACGGGATGTGAGCGTTTCATTGGCCAATTGCCTAGGTATGCTTTTCGATACCTCATCCGTCATCGCCGTGAGATCGACTTGACCCTAGATGCCTCTCTCAATGTCCATTTCTCATCGCGAAGGCGCAGATCCAAGTGCGAGTACATTAGCCATTAGGAATTCCATTTCCGTTCTACTAGATAATTCATATACTACTTCGACGATTCTGTATTAGCGTCCCTACTCTGATCCTATCAGCCTACGCAGTCCGTTATGCCTTTGTTGCAGCAAGTTATCCCTTCCGAGCACGGCTCGAATCAGCGCGAGCAGTCCTCTTAGCGGCCAGATGGTCCAGATAATCGCAAACAACCAGGCTATCCACGTCACCCGTGTCGCTGCATCTTCAGCTTCACTGTCTAGTCTCACTTTCTCATACACGCTCGGCAAGTAGTCGGCGCCATATCTGCGCCGTACCCGGTCGTAGGCTCTGCGATCGTACTGCTCCCAGAACTCATCCTCCCGATAGTAGACATGAGAATAGAGCCACTTTTTACCGCCCAGACGCGCGACTTCTTGCTCAAGAGCTCTGTTTTTGCGTAAACTTTTTCATAGTGGGGTTAGCTATGAAATTCTGGAGCGAAGAAGGGGGGAGTTTTTTTGGCGGGGGGGGGAAGGAAATGGGACTAGGATAACTCACGCGTCGCCTTGACTGGACGATGCTGGACCCCAAATACCAAAGTTCAGGTATATGTCCGGTCCGTCCGGTGCTCCAAAATCCGCGTGTAACCCGTACTGGGAGTTCCTCTCCAGACGGCGAACGAAGACTGGACATAGCCAAAGGGGATATATGTGAAGATTTGCGTCCACCCACTCCACGAACTCTTCGGCTCTCGGAACCGGAATGCCGACGTCCTGGACAATGTGGGTGTCATGTAGCCCAGAATGGTGTAACGTGCGGGATGCGACTCTGGTACGCACCAGGGGGTCGAGGACGAAACGTGTATATCTGTTGAGGGGGGTTAAAAAGTACTGGAACACATAACGTGCTGTCCAAAAACTTCCACGGTCGTATCGGAAGAGGTAGTCGACCAAGGGAACATAGTCTCTGAGTTTTGTGTTCGGAGGGCTTCTCCTCAATTGCTTCTCGATCCGTTCTGCATGAATATAGAACCACGGGTCTCTAGCCCGCAGGAAGCGTTGGGGGACGGCACCCCTCGGCAGAGCGTCCGTTAGTTGACCAGTACAGATGAGCGTCGAGTCCTTCGCAAAAACGATGGCGTCCACATAGTCGTTGGACGTGCCGAGGGCAGTCTGGTCCAGTAGAGTCTCAACAACCTGCCCAAAGTCCCCCTCCCGACGGTATGTCAACTCGACATATCTCTTCGCATTCATGAGCTGCACCTCCAAGAGCGTCACAATCCCCATCGTGCCAAACGCGCTCGCCGCTCCCCAGAACAAGTCCGGCTTCTCCGTCTTGCTCGCCATCTGAACCGTCCCATCCGGCAGGATGATCTCGATCCAGTTCACAGTTGCATCGAAAGGGCCCCACTTGAACGAGCTGCTTTCCCACGACGTGCCCGAGAAACCCCCCCCAACAGTGATCCCCGGGACCCCCATCACCACGCGCGGAACCAGCCCGTAATGCGCGGTGATATCGATTAGTTTGTCCATGGACACATTCGGCTCCACAAGTGCCGTTTTCCTAACAGGATCAACCCTCAAAACCTGGTCCAGTTTGCTCGTGTCGATGATGTTGTCCTCGTGGCGATCTGACCGCCGCGTGCTGTTGCTTGAGCCATGGTAGACCCGGAAGGGTGTGTGAGTGGCGGCAAACTGACGGACACGAGCCGCCATGGCACCGACGGTGGCATTGTGGCGGGTAGGTATTCCGGTCGTATTCATTTGCGCTCTTGAAGATAGATTGACGTTGACAGTTCCTGAAACAAAATGAAACAACGGGGAGCAAGCTAGAGTACGGGTTACTAGTATCCTTGTCGGCCGCTAGATGGTGAGGGATGTGGGATGTATTGAAGCTTGTGTGTTGTTGGAACCCCGAGAATGTGTTTAAAAGTGTTGAAGGCGAAGCGTTGCATCAAGTGGCGATCTGAGTGCTGTAAGTGCAAGAGTAAGACGTCTGAATGGGATCCAGCAGAGTATGCGTAAGTGAAAGAGGAACGCTACCATGACCTGAGCCTTGGCAGCCAACTGACTAGCCGTTTTCTGCACACCTCTCTCTCCCATGGGGCGCAGCGGCTGCCGTGGACAGTGGATAGTGCCGAGGCTAGGAAGTTGCTACACATTTGACATCAGGTTGTGTGTCCAAATAAACAATCCCCGAGTTAGCAAGCAGATCGCCGTTCCAAAGGTTTAGGTACCAACTGGCCAACCAGCCGCTGCCCAATACATGTCAGGGGCAAACTGTAAGTAACGTTACGGAGTACACGAAGAACGGAGAACAGCCCAAGAACAGAGGCAAGTCCGAAAGATACGCGATTCGCTGAATAAACCTGATCATTACCAAACCAACTACCAAGTAGTAAAAACCGAGGACGGCCCATAAAAAAAAAGAAAAAAGCTATACACATCTATTTCAACGAATAAATGGACCACCCTGAAGCTTTCCGCTCCGCCCCCTTTCTTCTCTCTTTCTCTTCAGCCTTTGGATCTTCTCCTTCCACCTATGAAGATGATCCTTCCCGGCTGCTTGAGGGGACCCTTTTCCCCCCGCCAAGAAAGCTTTTCCTTACGCTCTTCGGGCTGTCCGTCACGCTCAGGCTGGGCCCCTTGCTCCCGCCGCTAACGTACCCCTCCTTCTCCTCGGGCACGAACGAGCTCTTGATCACCACAGTGCCGCTGCCCACGTTAAGCGTCTTCTCCGCGCCTGTGTTCGAGTCATCCACATAGTAAAGCGCCTCGCCAAGGTGGTCGTCGCTGCCAAAGGTGTGGTGCTCTTTGGCTTCGACCTTGAACGTGGCGTCGGGTGTGCACTTGATGCGGAATGTCTCGTCAAACCGGACGGGCCCGCTCGACTGTTTGCGGTGCTTGGTCTTGCCGACCTGCTTGGCCTTTCCATCCTGCACTTGAGTGATAACGACGTAGACGTCAGCCGAAGGCGGGAAGCCAGCGGCTGAGACGACCGTGAAGGAAGCAGTGCCGGAAGCAGCGCCGGGGATGATGGCGCTGTGGACCGACGAGGCACCCGCGCTACGGGTGCGCACGTGATGCAACGGCCGATTTTCCCTGTCATCATCCGCATTCTCCGTGACGATGGCCGGGATATCGGCTGAGCTGTTGCTGGACGAGTCGCTGTCCTTGTCATCGTCCTTCTTGCCGCGAAAGCCACGCTTGATGAGCGAGGCACCTTTGCCAACGACGGTAGCACCACCCTTGAGCGGCATGCTGGCGACGCCGGCGACCCCCGTAAGGACCTTTCCAGGCACGGCAAAGGTGCCAGCAAGGGTCGACGTACCATGCCTGGTACGCGTAACGTAGTCTGGAGTGAACAGCATGCGCAAACGGAGCGTGCCCGACTTGCCGTCCAAGGGCAACTTGAGTATCCGAGCTTGGAATGGCTCGAGCTGCGTGAGATCGATATCGACACCGCCCAAGTAGTCCGGCTTGTCGGCAAAGTCCCAATCCCATACGGTGGCCCGAAACTTGGCTGCCGTGCGGGACGGGACGGCAATATTGAAATTCTCGTTCCACTCCGGATTGAGGGTCTTCTTAACCGTCTTAGTCTTGAAGACCTCCTGGCCGTTAAACTCGAACTTGGCATAGGGATCGCTCTTGCCATTGGAGTCGGCCGAGGGCAGGTTCTCGGCGTCTAGCACATCAATACGAAGGTTGCCCATGTTGTTGATACTCTCGCTTGGGTCGAGAGTCATCTTGACCGGAACGTACTTGAGGCTGACCTTGAGCGAATAGGTGTTGCCATCCTCATCGCGCAGCTTGAGTGTTGTTGGGTTGTTCTGCAGATGTTAGTTTAGAGCCATGGAATTGACATGTCTTGGGCAACCTACCAAGCACTGCTTGAGGACGTCGATACTGTTGCCGCTTAGGCGAGCCAGCACGTTCTGCTTATTGTCCTCGCCCTGCTTGTCCGACTTCTCCGAGATCTTGACGTGCAGCTTGGAGAATTCAAGCTCGCGAATGAAGCAGTCTCCAATCTCGTTGAAGGTGTGCGACTTTGACTTGGCCGCCGAAGAGACGTAAGACGGGAAGGCCATATCGTCAACAAACACTTCGACGCGGACGCCGCTCTTGGGCAGCTCGGCCTCCATTAGCCGGAAGATAATAAGGCCGGATTCGTACTTGAGAAGTTCCTGAGGGGTAAGATAGATCTTGGGAGGTTCCCTCTCCTCGCGGGACTTCCGAGGAGAGAGCAAAGCTGACGAGGGACTCGATGGCGTAAGCGGCGTCGGGGGCTCTTTGAGGCCATTGGCCTTGGCGATATCCAGCGACGGCCTGGCCGAGCCCCGGCCGTCCAAAGATGGCCGGTTCGATGAGGGCTTGTCCTTGTCGCCCTCGGTGTCGGATGTCTTCTCAGAGCCCTGCTGCTCCTGCTCTTTTGCCTTCTGCTCCTCCTTCTCTTCCTCCTCGGGGTCGGCCACATTGAGGGTCGGATAGAAGGCAACAGTGTAGGTGAGCGTGCCCTTGGGCGTACCCTTGCCATGCATGCGCAGGCCGTCCTCGCGGACCTCCTTGGCATCGTGGACGAGCCACTCGCCAGTCTCGGGGTCCTTGTGCACGAAATCGGCGCACGAAATCTCGGTGAGACCCAGGCTGCGGTCCTTGCCAACGTTCTCCGCGTCCATAACCTCGAGCTGAATGCGCTCGCGCGGCGAGTGCACGGGCACATACAGCACCTCGTCCCAATCGGGGTTAAGCTCATTCTTGAAGGTGACAGTACGAGCCTTCTCGATACCAGACATGACAATACGCGCGTACGGATCCGACTTGCCCAGAGCCTCGACGTTGCGCAGGTTCCTGGCGTGCTTGAAGTGGATACGCATGACACCAATAGGGGTGACATAGCCGCCAGTACCAGTCGAGATGCCCGTGATACACACTGGCCGCCACTGGGCAGTCATCTTGACACGACCCGTCTTGACGCCAGCCAGATTGTACCAGTCCTTGCCCTGCGCCATAAGCTCGAGCATATCCTCCAGCTTAATCTGGTAGGTACCAACGACCTGGTCACCAGCAATATCACGATCGTCCTTGATAGCAACGCCAAGCTTGGCATGCTTCTTGTCTGTGATGAGAATTTCCTTGGAGCCATCGCTGAAGATAGGATCGTTGGTGCGCTTGAGCTTCCGAGTAGTGTGAACCTCCTTGCCATTTAGCAGCAGAACCGCATACGGGTTGAGCAGGCCGACCATGCTCTTGGAAGAATCCAGCTCCTTGGCCTGCTCAACAGTGAAGCGCAGGATACCCTGGTTCGACTCCGGCGGCGGCTCGATACTGCCATCCTCGAGCTTGGTGGGCTCCAGAACGGGGAAAAACCGGATATCGGCAATTAGAACACCACGGGCCTTGCCATCGAGGCTGAGCTCCAGACGCTCGTTCTCGTTCTCGTAGATCTCCTCGAGGTTCTCGAGGGGGAACGAGGCAGCACCAAGCTTCTTGTCCTTGCGAATGTCGTTGTAGTCATAGATGTCGATATCGAGCGAATCGCTGAAGGAAGTGATGAGCACGTAGTGGGTCTCATCCCAACGCGGGTTTGCGTTCTCCTTGACGACCTTGGTCTGGGCAAGTGGTGCTCTCCGGTTAAGAGAGACAACGGCATATGGATCAGGAGTGCCGGCGAACTTGTCGTTGTTCCTGAGACCTTGGGCACCGTGCAGCGTGATCGCAACCACACCAATGGCCTGATCAACGGGCGTGCCGGCCAACAACTTGGCCACCTCGATGGGGAAGACGTTGGGAGCGTACATCATGGGAGCAAGCGTGGCATGGATCTGCTCGAGAATGAAGCTCTCCAAACCAGGGATGAAGTTGATATCGAAACCGAAGGTCTCGCCACCAAGAGGCTTGCATACGTAGTCAATTGTCGGCCGCTCGAGGAAGGACATCTCAATTCTCTCGACATGGGGGAACGGGACCTGCAGCTTGATCTTCAGGCGCATCAGACCTGAGAAGGCCATGTCCTCAACAATGACATCCAGACCCTTGCTGACCATGGCCTTGCCGACACGAATTTCCAGGATAACCTTGGGGTTGATCTTGTTCTTGATCTGGCGGGCTGTCATGTCGGCAATGTCGTTCGGGGTGAAGCTGAACTTCCAGTCCATCATGACGATGTCATCCTCTGTTTTGGGGTATGTCTTGACGTGCTCGACACGAGGTGGCTTCGAACCCAGGGTGAAGTGTTTGAGCTTCAAGCTCTCCAGGAAGGCCGGAGTCGCCGTGCTCAGGACCTGGTCGACGGTATTGATGACAGTAGCGGCCAGAACTGGCTGGTAGATGGGCCAGAACTTGACCAAGAACGAGTTGATCCACTCGACAGTCTCATTGTCGGTTTCGAGCTTCTTCAGGGCCAGTTCGCGGGTGATGTCGTCGCGGAAGTTGCGGCGTACGCGGCGGATCGAGGTACGGTAGTACGTGGCGCAGATAGCCATGATGATGAATACCCAAGCCAAGCCGCCGCCAAGGACAGCCACGAACCAAGATGCCAGACAGGCAAAAACGATAATGGCGGCGTTGTGGTACCAGTCTGTGTGGTCGTGTCAGGCTCAGGTCTCCGAAAGTTGCCATCATCACCTTGTAGACGCTTACCTCCGTAGAATTGTTCAGGAAGCTGGGTCTCGACCCAGGTTTGGTGGTCCAGCATGCTCTCAGCCTCAATAATAGGTTCAGTAGGCCAGCCAAACCTGGGAGCCCAGCCGGTCCTGGCCCAGATCTCATCTTCACTCTCTTCTGTCTTGCCTTCAGCGCCCTTTTTGCTCTCGGCCTTAGGAAAGTCAACGACGCCAGATTTTGTTGGACTTGGAAGGTCGATATCAGCCTTGGTGCCATCATCCATATCGGTCACGACGGCCACGCCATGGGGTCGCTTGTGGAAGCCGGGGGGGATGGCCTAGCAACACAGCAGGGTTAACACGTATTTCTCCAGCGAGGGGAACAAGGTCAGTTAACATACTGCTCTAGCCTGAGCAACCTTCTGTTCGTGTGAGGCATTGGGGTCGAAGGAGAAGGCAGCAACGCCGGCTGCCCTGCTCTCCTCAATGATCTTGCGTTCGGCTGCTTCAATTTCGAGCGTGTTGGAGCGTACTGGCCCCGCGCTGGCGTCCTTTTCAGACGCCATGTTGTTGAGCAATCGATGCTGCGGATTGCAGCTTGATATGGGTCGTGGTGTGGTCCAATGGTGATATCAGGATCCCTCGTATACGTTCAGGGGGGAAGAACGTCTCGTCGTTGGGGGTGCGAGGACTAGGGGGCAGTTTGAGGGTGGGTGGTGAAAGACCGGAGCTCCGTTTTGTGTAGATGGCGGTTGGTGTGGCACAAAGGTAGAGAGCTATGAGACCGAGCACCTCACTCACTTCAGATAGCGAGGAATGTAAGTTGTTAAGCAAGTTAAAGAGGCAATAGGGGCACTGGACCCTGATGCTGATGCTGACGATATCAATGGAATGACACTGTGTTTGCCACTCCTCCAACGGCTTTAGATGTGATGATAGGAGCACAGCAAGCGGGTTGACGAGCCATGGGAGCTCGAAAAGCACAGGAATGAGGGGAATGTTGAAAGGAAAAGCAGCAGCTCGAAGCGAGGAGCTGGTCTGGTGGGAGGTGAGCACAAGAAGACAGCGGGCGATCCCAGACCAGTCGACTTGTTCACAGCGATTAGCGGCTTGGCATGCCCCAGCGAGCGGGCACCATGGGCGCTGGAGCAGTGGGAACATGGTGGAGAACCAGGGCAGGATTCCAGATGGGGGTTCCAGGATGCCAGGGTGTCCAGCTGGGACTGCGGGCACAGAGGGCAGTGGTCAGCCCGTGGCCACTGCAATGGCGCTGGGCCGGCGATCATCAGCGATCGGGACTGCTACGTCAGACCCATCAGAAGCCTGCGAAGCGTGGGAAGACCGGCCGGAGCGGGGCCGCGCCTGACAGTGATTTGCTGCCGCACAACGACGCAAGCCGTCGGCTGAGACGGGCTGGCCATGTAACGACGAGCTGTGCAAGCTGTGTTCTCCGTTGCAACATCCTAGAACAGCTGGCCTTTTGGGCTTGCGATGTGGCTGTTGCTCAGCATTCGTTTTGACGAGAATGCGACCTGCGGCCTGTATGTCCCAGGATATTGCGTAATTTGCCCTGGACAGGGATCTCCTGAAGACGGCCCGCTGATCACCAACCCAGAGCCCTAAAAGTTCCCTGCCAGATCGCAGCGCTCGTGGCTTGTGTCAGCCATTGTGAAGTGCATCTATGTACAGATCACAGATCACGGACACATTGACTGTGAGGTATATCTTCTCATCTCCCGCAGCACCAATCTGCTGCTGTGCATCCCAAGCCCCAGTGCTATCTAGTATTCTTGCTGCCCGGCTGATTCTAGCCCGAGTAGGATTTGCCATAACCCCGCCGCCGCTGCTGCAAAGGCTGCTGCAAAGCACAGCGACCGTGTCCACATTCCAGCTTGCTTCGCTCTCCCATTGCATCATCTCACCAATGGGAGGCCGCTCTCCCAAACCTCAAGTGGGGTGTTCCGCTCGCAGTCTGTCATGGCCTGCTGAAAATCTCAGGTAGCAAACTGCATTCCAAGCGCAAGGCACGGCGAGCGCGAGGGGTAAGAGGATAAGCCATGAGCGACATGCGATGCGATTGTTGGCCTCCCGGATAAACCAAGAAAACTTTGAATGCTATTTTTTTTTGTTTCGGCGCAGGAATGCCGGTTGCTCGCAGCCGGACTGGTCAGAGGTCCCATAAGAGTTCGTCGGTAAGCTCCGAGATGGAAAAGACGACAAGGCTCTCCCAGATGCTTGACAGCGCCATGATCGTGCCCGAATCCTCAACGCCCGAAGGCAAAATGGACGCCGGACAACGGCAACGCCGGCCGACCGGTGAGTTTCCGTCAAAAAAATCGATCTGGTCCACTTGAAGTTGCCAATCACTTGACTTTTGTCCACCACATGAATTAAGTGGATCGGTGGAGCGACGCGTGTGCAGATTGAATTGACCTCAGCGACAGAAGATGTGGTTGTGGCTGTGACTGGTGTGAGATCCTCCCACGTTGCGAATACGGAGCAATGTGCGTTGCCCAAGAGAGTACGTAGTGAAATTGGCAAAAAAAACACAACTCCCGAGGTTCCCGTTTAGGACAGAGACGATGTTTCTCGCTTGTGCTGAGTGTCTCGGCAACGCTCGTGGATGCTGCTTTTGGCCAAGCCCTTGCTGGAATAGGCTGATGCTGGTATGCTTCCGGCTGTTGTGAGGTGATGAATGGAAGGACGCCTTACAAGATGACACGCAACCATACCTTGGCTCTTTGTAGACCGAGAGCCGCGGCATGCTCAACAGCTTTCGAAAATCCTCAATAATTCCCAACATTTGGGTATATCCCTATCTCATGGGCGGTCTGAGGTTCAACACTCCATGGAAATGGAGAGTCTGAATGATAAACATCGTGATGTGTGTCACACATCAATGACAAACGTTGGACGTCGCAAGCGAGGGGGAGCCGAAATCAAAGAGTTTCCAACAATAGCATTTGTGGACAATGCAACATTGGGCTGTTTCATCGCTTCATCCACTGAGGGTCAGTCGGTGCCGAAAGCTTGTGACGCAGTGGATGTTCTGAGCTTCTGGAAATTTCAGCCACAGTTCTTCGGGTTCGGGTTAGATATGGCACTGCACGGACCCCAAAAAGCTGGCCAAGCCACATGTGGCGGCTTTACGCACGGATCACATTATCTTTGCCATCCGCTTTGACAACGCCAGCCCTGATTTCTCGAACATCGAGATATCGAACCCACGCCAACTGAGCCGTCCTCAATCACATCGTGCTTAAAGTCGTAACGTCGTTACCCAGCGCAACCACGCCGACCCCCCATCCAATTTGATTGAGACATCTTCGTAGTAGCAAAAATGGCCAACTTCCTCGCCTCAATCTTCGGCACCGAGCAAGACAAGGTCAACTGCTCCTTCTACTACAAAATCGGCGCCTGCCGCCACGGCGACCGCTGCAGCCGCAAGCACGTCAAGCCGTCCTACTCGCAAACGATACTCATGCCGAACCTCTATCAGAACCCGGCACACGATCCAAAGTGCCGCATGAACGAGCAGCAGCTGCAAAACCACTTCGATGCCTTCTACGAGGACATCTGGTGTGAGATGTGCAAATACGGCGAGCTCGAGGAGCTTGTCGTCTGCGACAACAACAATGACCACTTGATCGGCAACGTGTACGCTCGCTTCAAGTACGAGGAGGATGCGGCCAAGGCCTGCGAGGACCTCAACTCGAGGTGGTACGCTGCGCGCCCCGTCTACTGCGAGTTGAGTCCTGTAACAGATTTTCGCGAGGCATGCTGTCGACTGAACTCTGGCGAAGGATGTGTGCGCGGCGGGTTCTGCAACTTTATTCACCGCAAGAATCCCAGTCCTGAGTTGGAGCGCGAGCTGCAACTGGCGACGAAGAAGTGGCTCAAGATGAAGCCTCGTTCGCGCAGCCCGACGCGTTCGCCAAGCCCGGAGCCTAGGAGGAGGTATCGCGACTGAGAGCTCGAAGTAATTTGGCTTGATACCCGGTCGAGGTCGTTCTTTCTCATTGATATTTCGAGGAGAATGGCTAGGAGGTGGTTGCTTAGCTACGGCGGACGGGGATCGCTGGCAGGATTCCAGAAAGGTCAAAGACATGAAAAGTACAATAAGGCGCACAGGCTTAGGGACGGAGTTAAGGCGTTTATTTCTTGGGCAAGAGCTCTTGAGCACTAGGTCTTGTACATGAGTGCTTGCTTGTATGGAATAGATTCATGATCCACATACCACCGTCAACCCTGGATCATCATGATTTGCACACCTGCTGAAGAGTCAAAAAAAATAAATTGTAGTCCATAGCCCATCTACAGTTACCCTACAGACGGTACCATTGGTGTAGCATTTGCCCATTCCCTTATCATTTCCTGCTCCAGTTGTATGCACGTATATATGTATGCCTGCAACCGGTGAAAGAATCCCGACATAAACGTATGGAATGACACCTGACCCTGTCAGCAATTACATTCAAGAGGGTATCACACGCGCCATGCATGCAGGTTACAAACCCCCAAAACGTGCCCGAAGTTCGTTTCCATGATACTTGGGAGCGTTTGGGTGAGCCAGCGCCGTTTCATCCATCCCGTTTAATCCTGACCCTTATCTCGTCCGATACTCTTGAGCTTGTGCAGTTTGGCGCCCTTGACTGGCGCCGGTAGACATGCAGCAAGCCTGTCACGCTCTGCATCCAGTCAGTCCCTGAACTCTTCAATGAGAATCCTAGTTAGGGGAAGGGGGTTGCTCACCAGCATCAGTATCAAATACAATCGAAATATCATCATGCTCTCCCGGCAGCTCAGGCAAATCCAAACACAAGAACGCCGCATCAGCAACTTGTTGCGCGTCCTGCGCCTCAGGAGCAAGCACCTTTGGCAGCGGGAACTTGGCATCCACAATCTTAAGCCCAGCCTTCCCGCCACCTCTGGTAAACGCCTCAAACACATCAGTCCCCTTGATCTGGAACCCCATGCACTGACCGTGTGAAAAATCTTCGAAGAAGGCCAAGATCTGCACGACGCCTTCCTGCTGCACGACCTGAATGCGCGTGGCGCCCGCTTCCCACTTCTTATGAATCGGCACGACCATGCGCCGACGAGATATGGCAAAGGCAGATGCGATGCCATCAAAGAGAACCTTGAAGCCGGTGATAGCCATTTGAAAAGTGTGCAGAGCCTCGAGAGATGGGAACTTAAAAGTCCGGAAGGTTGGTAATCGTCGGATGGTGTCAAGAGCCTGTGCCAGCCCATTGGCTACATCACGTACGGACTTGACTTCTGTGATAGCAAGCGTTGCATCGGCCTGCGGCTGGCGGAAGACCATAAGACAGCTGGGATTCTGGACGTCGAGGCGGATCTTAAGCTCACCAGGAGCGACGTTGATGCGGTCCGTAAAGGTGCCGTCTTTGAACTCATAGACAACGCGCAGACGATCTGCTAAAACGCACTTAGGCCGATCTCCATCATTATCGTGATTTATGACGCGGGCCTTCGTCCAAGGCAAAGACGAAAGTCCCTTAAGTCCGTTATCTAGGGAGTCCCCGAACCGCTCCGAGAACCAGGCGCCCTGAAGCGGGACTTCGCCAAAGACTTCCTCACCTCGGCCCAATGCTGTGCCTACAAGCTGGCTATGCATCCGAGATCTCTCCTTGTCTTCAGCGAACGATAGCACCATGCTCCCCTTGAAACGACCATTGTCGAACTTGAGCGAGAGAGCTGGGTCATTTGACTCGTTTCGGAGGAAGCCAAACTGAATAGGCTGCTGGGGCGAGTATGTATGGTTGACGCCGCTCAGTGTCTTGGTTCGAGGGCCTGTCACGACCGCAATGCGGTAGCCCTTGTGCCAGGTGCGCGGCCCAGTCGCTGCGCCTTCTCTGTGAAGCCGTTCAAAGAGAGCGACCTCACAATTGGGTGTCGATTCCTTCGGGAACTGCCTCGCTTGAGGATCATTGTCGAAGTACTGGAACGCCCGCAGGGTAGTCCTGAAGATACAGTTCTCGTCTTGCCGAGGGTAGAGTGTAGAATGCACCTTCACACTAAATTCATACATACTGCGTAGTGTCGAATACGCTTGTTGATGGCACTTAATTACGAGGAGGAAGCCCCTGGGCAGTTTAACCTCCATATGACATGTTTCTGGGTGCCACCGAACATCATCCCACACCGGACCGTGACTCTTATTGCCCGAGATGCGCAGCTGGACGGCGCCGTTTTGGCTTGCTAAAATAAACACAATGTCCGACTGAGTCTGTGGCCTGACGGTCGACAAGAAACACGGGAGGAAAAGGCGCTGAGATTCCCTTCCCTGTTCCATCAAGTATGCCTCGACCTGAAAGCGGGCGAAGCAGAACGTCGTCGCAGAATCTCCCAGAGGCAATGTCTCCAGTATGGTCATCCCGGAACTGATCTCTTGGTTCTGAGCAAATGCCAGTCCGGGCAATCCCCAGAGCAACGTCTTGATGTCCTGGCTAATTTGAGGATATTCAAGCCAAATGGTCCTGTCGACGACTTGCGGAAGAAAAAGTTCTTCTGGGGGCATGATATCGTTCCTCTTCATCGACACGGTCAGCTTCTTGAGGCTAGAGACGAGAGTTGTCCGAACAGCCTCCGCTTCCCGGTCAACGGGGCTGCGACCGCTGTTGATAACCTCAGGCATTGCTTCTTCCACTAGCCAGTAACCCTTGGCCAGGTCTGTAAATGCCTGCTGCTTCGCCCTCTCAACCCTCATCTCTATTTCCGGAGTCATTGTCGTAGGGCGGTCTCGGATGACGACTTCAAGGGCAGTCCTGCCTGTCAAGAACCACCACAAGGCTGCCCGCGCCAGATCCTGGGGTGCTGACTGGAGGAGCGGACGAACGCTCTCAGCATGCAGACGGAACAACTCAAATAAGTGCTTAGTGCGAGTGAGAAAGGCCCTGAAAGCCTCTTCCGATGCCGCCACCACGACATCGTGCATGCTTGGTGCAGACGGCACTGACTGGCCTGTAGCTGGGTAGTCCTTATCGGAACCCCTGCTCCATTGCCTCAAAGATGCAAACGGATGTTGGAAATTTGCAGAGGCCGCGGAATCGGGAGCCGTGGGGCTGGTGTCAACTTGGCCTGGCTTTCTGATCCGCTCGGGAGAACTCATGATAGAGCCCGACGAAAGTAGCTGGTTGTTCTGAGGTTGGGTAGGTGGTTTTTTATCCGTGGGAAGGATAGGGGAAGGCTGAAGCCCCGGAGCTGATAGTTTCGGGGGGATCGAAGGAGCTTGTGACGATGACGGAGTAGATGACTTCGACTGCAGAGTCTGCGCAGAAGAGTTTACGGAGGCAGTCGTCGGTGACCCGTCATCGTTGTCAGGTGATGGAGATGTTCCATTACCAAGCTTAGCTTTATCGCCCGAAGCTGCTCGTACAGCATTGGCAAAGGCTCGACCTTCAGCCTCGCGCATCTGAGCCTGCTGGATCTCCAGCAGCGATTTCCGCCTTTCCTCCTGCCCGGCGTGTGGGATCCCCAAGTGACGGACATTGTTATTGTTAGCATTCCTACCAGGGTCAGCAGGACTCGAGCTAGGAGAGAAGCCTGTCTGGACACGGCGGAGAGGAGCCGGTTCAAAGGAACCACCTGGTGTCTGCGGATGTGTGGTCTCTGCTGGTGCGCTTCGAGGTCCAGTCACGGGCGTCTGGGGTGGTTGCCGTTGTTTCTTACGTCTTGACACCTCAATGGGCGGGATATCACACTCGTCTCCCCCTTCTCCAATGACTTCAGGATATGTTTCCACAAATCTCACAGGATATGGTTTCCTGGGTTTCTTTGGCCGCTGACGAACTGCGAGCTCCTGTTGTTGGGTATCGCCATCGGCCCTGATGACCGAGGAATTGGGGTATCGAGTAGCGCTCTGAGTATCGAGCTTCGACAGCACAGGAGGGCTTGCATGGGCAACCTGCAATTTGTCGGGCGACGAACCGTGCAAGAAGTCATTCAGATCAGCGGCAACGGTTGATTCGTCATGAGTGGTCTTGCGATCGCGACCAAACAGCTTTCCCATCAAACGACCCCTTTTCGAGACGCGGCCGTCATCGTGAACGGCAATAGCGGTGGAGTGGTCGTTCTCCATCATAGTGATCTGTTCGTGTAGTTATGCTAACGATACTTCTTATGTGAATCCGATGTGCGTACACGCGTTATCCACGATCTGTCCTCAACAATGGCTATGCCACAAAGCTCTGTGATGGGCGTGGGTCTTGGACCACAATGCGATGCGAACAAAGCGTACGCTTGTTATCCGAGTCTGTCGGGTAGCCCGACAAGCGACCAGAGCTGCCAGTGAGCCCCGTTGCTGTTGGGCTCTGGGAGCCGCATGTGGCTCGATCAGGACAGGCAAAAGTAGCGGAATCGAGCAGTCGAGATGAGGTTGCGACGTCGGTCGGTGAGAGCGAGGATGTAGGAGGGGCGGGAATGTGGGAGCGCAGGAGCGTGGGAACGAGAGTGGGACAAATATGCAGACACAAGAAGCTGCAAGGTCTGCAAGGAGACTAACAGCTTGTGGCTATGTGAGAGAAGAAGGTTGGAATCTGGCGTTGCTTTGCTTGGAGGTGTGTGTGTCAGCAGTGGCTGAACACTGAATGGTTGGGTCGGTCGGGGGAGCTCTGCTGCAAGCGACAAACTGTCAGTGCAACTGCACGTCTCTGCAGCCGTGCCTGGGCCTGCCAGTGAGCCAAACCGCCAATGTACAGCCGGGGAACCGAAAAGGAGATGGATAGCAGACAGACGGACGGAGACAAACTGGACGAGCAGACGTGTCGGGTCGAGTTCGCTGCCCAGACGGCGCAGATGCCGCGTGGAGATGCCCAGCTCCAGTGTCGAGTGCCCAGAATCGCGGCGGGGCGACAAGCACCTCATCAACCAGCAGCAAGCAACAGGGAGCTAGCTAGCTGAGCGAAGGATCGACTTCCTAATCAGGGTTACAGCGACCGAGTCTTGCATCCGCATTGGATGGGGCCTCGATAAGGTGCTGCTGCTTCGTGAGTGCCTGTGGGTTGTACACGTTGACGCCGGTGATTTGAGCACAGTCGGGCCCGTTCCTGGGATTCCGGAGAGATGGTTTTCTTCCTTTTGGGCCTGGTTTGCTGCATTGGTCATGCTGCTGTGCCCCTTACACTCGTCGTTTTTTAAGAAAACCAAACCTCTCATTCCCTTGTTTCTGGAATGGATCTCAATTGCTTCATGTTTCAGCGCCCAGATCAGCCACTTCCCGCATCAGCCTTTCTCCACATGCCTCCTGGGAGCAGCCCCCGGGAGCCGGCATGTTTCGTCGGCCAAGCCACGCTGAACGGGCCACATAGTGACCCTTCATCATTGCCAGGTCTCCCGCTTAGTACCCACTGCCGTTGCTGCATGCAACTTCATAGGCCAGTGTGGCTTGCTATTTTGCACAGAGAACATGGCAGTAGATCCGTATTGTCATGAAATCAGGGACAGTTAAGACATCCTGGGTGTTAACAAACCCTGGTATAGAGCGGAAAACGCTATCGGCTGGCGGCTGGTGGCAACATCTGAAACTGTAACGGCGGGGCAACCTTTTGGTAATCTGCGGGTTCGGGTTCCCTGCCCTGTGTCTGATCACCGGCCAGCGTACAGCCCGGACACGGGTACAACAACCTTGGCCTGTGCTGGTGTCAAAAATGCCAGTTCCCGTGTGTAAGGATATCATCGATGTCGAGGCTCCCAAACTACTGATAATATGTTGGGATCTCTTGACTGAGGTCAGCTTCAAGGAGGCTGACTCGGGCTGCATGAATCCCAGTTGGTGGCAAGTGCCACAAAGGGTGCGTAGAAAACTATTGTCATTCTGCTCTGGAGCCAATGAAACGTAAAGCTGAATGACGAGTGGTCAACTGAAAGATCACGCACACCTTCTTCACTCCATGCGAATACTATCTAAGAATCAGCTCGCAAACATTGGTTGCTTGATATACTCATTTTTGAACGATTGTGACTTTTCTCACCTTCTCTCTACTAACTGTGCAGTTCAGTGAGATTCTTTTTCAGCCATACACCTCCAACTCATTTCATGTCTCAAACCTTCAGGCATACCACCATCTGTATCTATATCCTGGGATTGTTACATTAAGACACAAAAGGAATCTTTACTCAATTTACAATTCTTGCCTCTTAAAGCTGTGCTTCAAAGTTTGTCAAACGTGGAAACTTAAGGTGCGGCTCAGAAAAATGCCCACCGAGTAGTCTGGGCTTTGACTCTCGGCCAGGAACGGCACAGTCCCCTGCTGGAGCTCGAGGGCAAATGTGGGGGGGATGGCTGTCGCTTAGTGTGGGCTCCAGCAAAGCTACATCTCGAACCCCACCACTTTGGGTTGGTAATATCTCAGGATTAAGATTTGGTATGTTAAGATTCGGTATGCCTGACAAGTATCAAGAACTGGGGGATGAGATCTTTGTCCAATTGGGGTCATGATTTGTCTGCAAAGAAGGCCATGATATTGCTTGGTCAGAAAAGATCTAGGGAAGCTTTTTTTTTATTCCATCAAACCAAGTCTGTCACATGGAGGTAGCTTGCGCGCAAGCATGGCACAACATGTACCTTGGCATAGCACATGGGACCCTCGTCATTGCCCCTCCAAGCACCCCGCCCGAAGTCGCTGAAGGTGTTGGGGCAGCTTTGAATCCCGCGCTGCATGGCATGGATTGCTCCAGAACCATTCCTGCTCAAGTTTGGTGCTGCCTTTTGACAACGACGTAATGCTAATCGCCCCAGCCAGCCCTGCGGCCACTTGATTCAAAAATTGATCGCTTTGTCCTCTCGGAGATTCTCGTAGCCGAGCCCGGTATTTTGCTGCTTAGGAGGGCTAATTCCTGCACCCCTAGCCTGCCATTGTGACGCAAAGGCCTCGTCCTCAACGCCTGCTCTTCCTCAACATTTTTATTTTCTTGCCCCACCCGTTTGTTCGTCCTTGAGTCGTCCGCTAGCTTGAGTGCGAGCGCGCCGGTCAACTCCGAATAGGCCTATATCCTACTCCGCTTGGGCCGTGATGTTGAACATGCTTACTTCCCGCTTTCGGGCGGGCTCCAATGCCAGTGAGTCGCGCACGAATCCGCCCCTTTCTGGGCACATTTTGAGCATGAAGGTGTTGGTATAGGGAGGGATTCGGCAGAGATGCTCCGGCACAAGACTGGAGGCAAGAGATGGATTTTTTGGAGTATCGTACAAGAAGTAGGCCGATTTTTAACACATGCTGGTTGACAGGCACTCGAGATGACGATGGATTCGAGGCGAATGAGGAGGACGAGCAGACGTTCGATCCCGCACAAGGAAGTGGTCAGTCAGCCTTCACCAGCCCCAAGATGTCAAAAAATTGAGTGACAGCGAGCTGACTGGCCTCCTTTCCCCAGTACTCATGCACATCGTCAGCCAGCTCCGTCCCGGTGCCGACCTCAGCAGGGTGACGCTGCCCACTTTCATCCTCGAACCACGCAGCATGCTGGAACGCATTACCAAGTACGTTTATTGCGTTGGAGGCTATCCTCGAGGGTTTTGTGCTAAACCGCCGTAGCTTCATGTGCCATCCAGAGATGCTCCTGCCCATCCCTAAGATCGACGATCCGGTTGAGAGGTTCGTCTCGGTGGTTAAGTTCTACCTTAGTGGTTGGCATATCCGTCCCCCGTAAGTCTTCTGGTGTTCTTAGACCACGACCGTGTTTCTAACATGCAATAGTGGGGTAAAGAAGCCATTGAACCCAATCCTTGGCGAGATATACACCTGCTACTGGGACTTTCCTGATAATACCAGAGCTTACTACATCTCGGAGCAGACGTCACATCACCCTCCTAAGTCAAGCTACTTCTACATGGCTCCCGACCATCACATTCGCGTAGACGGCACTCTCAAGCCCAGGAGCAAGTTTCTTGGCAATTCGGCTGCCAGCTTGATGGAAGGGATCGCCATCCTGACGCTAATGAATAGGGGCAAGGATCCAGCTAAGGGGGAGCGATAGTGAGTAGCCATGTGGCAGGGCCTGTTTGTAGCAATGAGCTGACGGGTTGCAGCATTCTCACACAACCTAACATGTACGCGCGAGGTGTACTATTCGGTAGGATGTTGTACGAGCTGGGCGACCACAGCTATGTAAAGTGCCCGGAGATTGGTCTCGTCGCAGACATCGAGTTCAAGACCAAGGGCTGGATCAGTGGTACGTACAATGCCATTTACGGCAAGATCACTGAGGAGAAAACGGGCAACGTCCTGTACGAGATTACCGGACACTGGAATAAGGAGATGTTCATTGAGGATATGAGGGTAAGTTTAAGTCAACTAGCACTTACGCCGAGTCTGGCTAATTGAGATACAGACGCACACAAAGGAAATGTTCTTCAACGGACTGAAGGCCACGCCAACTCCGCCCTTGACTCGGCCGCTGGAGGAACAGGATGAAAGGGAATCACAAAAGCTTTGGTACAAGACGGTACAGGCCATCAAAGAGCAAGATCATGACACCGCAACCGAGGAAAAGACAAAAATCGAGGATAGGCAACGCGAAGAGGCGGCCATGCGAGCGAATGAAGGCATTGAGTGGCACCCCAGGCTCTTCCGGAGAGTGAGAGGGGGTCCTGGTGGCTTGGAGGAGGGTGAAGAGGATTTGGAGTGGATCATCAATGCGCAAATGTGAGAATTCGGATCTGATTTGAATATGCCAGGATATGTGCTGACGGCATGGTAGAGACGGCGATACGGCCGAGAAGAAGGCCGCTCAGATTATGGCTATCTACCCTGTCGTCAAGGGCCAGAAATTCGACCCCAAGATGGTGATTCCCCCTAGGCGCTCCAAGAGCCAGTCCAAGCATGAGAATCACGCAAGCGATCTGATCGACGCTGATATTACTTTCGGGGAGAATTTGGCCAAGGCAAACACTGACAAGCAAGGGCCGTTGGATGACTTCCAAGACCTCAAGAAGGACCTTCCCGCCAGAAACCAGCACAAGAAAGCCGACGACAATGACTCACACGACGAGGACGATTTTCACGATGCGCACGAGGGTTAGACTCTTACCCACCTAGCAGCAACTCTTCATCACTAACCCTCCCTAAACACATATACATTTTCCATCTTATTATCGGTCGGAGCAACGAAATAAACGGTAGAGGGTTGGATCAACCAAAAATGGGAACGGAAATGGAATTTGCATCAAAATGCCACGTTTGTTCAACTAGCTGGAAGGGAAAAGGGCGAGGCGGATGACAACGAGGGCATATGAGGTAGGGGTATCCGGATCATTCTCAATCCTTGATCAAGCCGGGGAAGGGGTGAAAAGAGGTGTTTCCGGCTCTGGCAAAAAGGGACGAATAGGTAGATGTGTGATACCTTGGACGGGTACGGATGCATATACAGGACGGGGGATTGGCAAGTTGGACGGCGCTGGCATTTCTCATCTATGCTATCTATCACATATCTTTGCACACACTTGTACTACGGACGGGCTCACCCCCGGTCATGGTTTGGTATAGTTGGGTTTCTGGCTTCCCTGGATGGATCAACTCCTCTAAGATAGCCACAATGGATTGGATGATTGCATGGTGTTTCGGAAGATCTGCCCTCGATGGTGAAGTGATGAAGGATGTTCAAAGAAAATGTTGGCAGGCTGTGTCCTGCCCCTGTCCAGGAGTTCAGAACGAATGTTTCGAACCAAAGGGAAACACACAAACTCAGTCAGGTTATGCTGAGGCTCGATTGTTTCCCTGGAGCAGGCATCCGGTTATTGATGTATTGCGCCATATGAGCAAGCTCAGCAGTTAGATGCAAACGGTATGGCGGCTTGGTACAGCAGCCACCACGACAAGGCTCACTTATGCTTGTTTTCCTCACTCTTGCGCCCATAGCAAAACCACATCTCTGCCACCCAAGAAGCCATAATTCATCCCTATCCCCCTTGCCAACATTGCCTTCTGGCCCATGGCCACCCAACAAGGCCAGTGCTAACATCCTGAACCCCGCCGAGCGCAATAACCTTATACCAGGTTAAAATTTCCCATCTCTATCGTCATGATAAACTTTTAGCACCGCGGTAGACTCAGGATACGGACTGAGCTCCCGTTTCTGTGGCCACCCCTGGCACTTAGTACCCTCCTTCTTTTCCCATCCCCAGTCCTCATCAAATGATCAACTGCAAGACACCCCCGGCCCCCGAACAACAAATCACAAATGCAAGACAAAACTCGTCTCCTCAGGTAATCCAACAGGCTCAACCTTCCCTCTATACCGTCGCTCAGAGTCCAGCCCATCACCCCGGTCGCAACGCCGCCCGTCTCCGTCTTGGCTCGGTCTTGGCCCGGCGGCTTGGCTTACAATGCCCAGTCGGAGTTCCGTCTTGGCAAGCCCGGTAATATCACCAAGCATGACGGAGAAGAGCCGGAATGCTGCGGCTGTCAATTCCGGGGAAGAAATGAATGACTTGCGCCAGAGTAGGTATCATAGAGAAAGGTTAGATTTGGACGCTGACAGGACGTTGTTTCGATGTTTGACTGTGAACCAGTGAAATTCCCGCCAATTGTGGCGTCACGTTGCTAAATTGCTTGTCTAGAGAGGCTTCATGTGCAGCATGCACATTTCCAGAGAAGCTTGGATTTCAACCTCTATAATGTATTCATCGTCTCCTTCACCTATCGACCATTCCTTGGGGTATTATACAACCAACGATATGCCCAGCCTCAAACAAGAATAAACTTAAGACATCCAAAACAGTATACTGGAATAAGAGTATAAACCAAAAAAAAATCGGGAGTCAGCGACAGAGTCGACGCCCAGGCTGCGGTCCAGTGTATGTGGCGTGTGTCGGGGATTAGTAGCGAGCAGACAACCCCCCGCGTCTAGCTTTTTCCTCTTCCCTTTCTCAAACCAAAGTATTACCGCTTCCCATGCATCCAAAAGAGAAAAAAAGAGACGGTTTAAAAGCAATAAACGGAACGCTCCTAGGCAACGCAACTCAACGCAAATATCCAATAGTAGATTAGACGGTCTTCTCTGGCGGCGTGGCAGGGGCACTGCCCTGAGGGGTAGGGGTGTTCTGACGCGTGCTCTCGAGAAGAGCCTGGTGACCCTCAATTCCGTGCTGCGGAATGATGACAGCGCCGTCGGCCTTGGGCTCACGCTCAGCGGGGGTCCAGGCAAGGTAGTCACGGCGGACCTGGGAACAGCGATGTTAGTTTCTGTGATGCAAAACCAGGGAACCAGCAAGAAAATACATACCTCGACGTAGTCATAAGCGAACTCGCCATGCTGGTCGTCGTCCATACCGAGCAGCTCAGCCTCGGACGACGCACGCAGGTGGAGGCCGGGGATCATGTCGATGGCCTTAGCAATAAGGGCAGAGACGACAAAGGTGTAGGCGCAGCAGGCAACAATGAAGGCAACCTGGATGTACAGCTGCTTCCAGTTGTGGTTGATCCAGCCGGCCTTGAGCTCCATGTTGACACCGTCGAGACCAATAATGTAATCGGCACCGAAGAGGGCATTGAAAATGAGACCGACAATACCACCAATAGCGTGCTCAGCGAACACATCGAGAGCGTCGTCAATCTTGATCATGAACTTGATCTTGGTACCAAAGTTGCAAGCGACACCGGCGGTGATACCGAGGATAACGCTAGCCCAGGGGGTGATAACACCGGAGGCAGGAGTTGCAGCGACGAGACCCGAGATAGTGCCCGAGCACCAGCCGACGAGCGACCACTTCTTGGCAAGACGGTAGTCCAGAATGCACCAAGTAATGGCAGCGAACATTGCAGTGAGAGCGCTGTTCCAGCAAGCCATGGTAGCACGCAGGTTGGCACCGAAAGCAGAACCGCCGTTGAAGCCGAGCCAGCCGAAGAAGAGGAGGATGGTACCGAGGGTGATGAGCGAGATGTTGTGCGGGCGGAAGTTGAGCATCATTTTCTCGTTGCGGCGACCCAGGACCCACGAGTAGGCCAGAGCCGACATACCGGAGCCAATCTCGACAGGACCACCACCCGCATAGTCGAGAACGCCGTACTTGAAGGCCCAGCCGTTGGCACCCCAGGTCCAGCAGGCAAGTGGGCAGTAGACGAGAGTGGCCCAGATGAAGGTAAAGACCATGGCAGGAATGACACGACCACGCTCAGCAACAGCGCCAATCACGAGGGCAGCCGTCACACCCAGGAATTGCATCTACGGTTCCCAGTTAGCCGCCAGCTACTTCATCCTCCAATCGTTCAATATGGCTTACCTGGTAGAACGAATAGAGAAGCTCCGACACGAGAGGAGAACCGGGAGACTGATCGCCGAGGACGCCCTTGAGACCGAATTTGTCGAGGTTACCGATATAGCCGTTTGTTGCGGTCGGGCTGAGAGCAAGCGAATAACCCCAGAAGTACCATTGGAAGACAATAACGCTGTAAGACATCATGACAACCCAGATGAGCGACAAAGCAGATTTTCTCCTGGCAAGACCGGAGTAGAGGAAAGCGATACCCGGCACCATGATCATGACCATGGCGGCCGAGACAATGATGTAAGCCTGGTCGCCCTCATTGAACCCGATGTTCAGGTTGTCCTTGGCTGTGCGAGGGACAGCTTTGTCAGCACGCTTGATTTCGAACTGCTGGTCGGCCGCGGTGATGGGCGATGCTGGAGCCGGGTCTTCGAAAGCGCTGGCGCGGCTTACCTGAGTGTTTCCCATCGTCTGAAATGACGTCGGCCATCTTGACGGTCTGTTTGGAAGTTCAGGGATAGGTTGTCGAGTGGTATATATGCTTCGTCGATAATGGCTTGTGCGGTTGCGTGTCTATGTGTGCGTGTCTATGTGTGCGTGCCTATGTGTGCGTGTGTGGTCGGCGAAGTCGGAGTCAAAAGTCGAATTAGTATGTTCTAAGTCAATTGACGCGGAGGTCGATCCCAAATCTATGGAGAGGAGACGTCGGAGTTGTCTCCAGCCGTCAATGGGCAAAAGGATGAACTCCAGGCGAGGATTGGAGGTGTTGTGGAAGTGACGGAGAGAAGCATGGCAGCTGGTGGTGGGACAGCGCATGGGTATATAAAAGAAAGTAAAAGGATTGTACGGCAAGGCCGTCAGGTCGAGTGAAACGCCCCAGAACTTCCTTATCAGCGATGGGGCAAGAAAAAGTGGGGAGCCCGGTTCACATTCAGGTGGTTCTCGGGAGACACGAGGGGTGGAAGGAATCGCCCGCGACAACACACTTTGCGGCATGGCGCCCTGGAGCACTGGTGCCTGTCGAGCATGGAACCATCGATGAATGGAGCGAGCCTGTCGAGAACTCGGAGCCCTGCCCCAGCGCGGGAGGAGTCCCGTTTGATGGGTCCAGTCTGAACGGACGGGGTACGTACCACTTACAGGGGTAAACAAGGTGCCCTTCCTGCCTGAACAGGTTGTTCAGGGAGAAGTGCGCCTCTGAAACCGCAGCTGGGCAGTGTTCTATGGTTTGTTGTAAGCAATCATTTCGCTGCTTTTTTTCAACTCATTACACATTCGCATACGCACATACACACACATATCCACACATGCGACACACAGAACGGGTACGTCCCTTTTTGGGCGCGCAGTTCGTTCCTGGCCCTCCCGCACTCGGGTCATCCCAGGAACCTTTGGCTGACTCTCACCGGTGGCGGCAGGTTGAGCGTGGAGGCGACCCCCGCCTTGGGGGTGGCCAAATCTGAGATGATCCAGGTTCTGGCATTCCTGGGGACCACGAACTTCACCCTCCATACTCAGTTTGGCAACGTTGTGGTGTGGCTCGCCCGCGCTGCATCTCAACACCTCATGCAAGACGATGCAGCAATATGCCCAGACGTTGCATGCCCTGACATTCCAGACCCGGATTCCACTGTCCCAGAGCGTTGGGTGAGCCCTTCGCTCATCGAACGTGTGAAGATGGAGCCAGCGGGGTTATATTCTGGCCCCAAGGCAAGGGCTAACGAAGCCAATCAAGCTCGAAACACCTCGCCACGAGAGATGTAATCTCCACTGCTTCTGCTTCAGCTCAATCTTGAGATCAGACCTTACGTCTGGCGACTGATCCTTGATAACCGCCAAATCTCGTCTGAGTTGTTGTCAAACACCTGACTTGCGCCACCATGCCATATCGGCCCTCGGGGCAATGTGTAAAATCGAGGACAGCTCGATCCGGATCGGCAGTCTCTGGCCCTGGGTGGGGGTCGTGGGTTGGTCAAGCTGATCACTGATCAGTAGGAGGATGATCTGGACATCTAACACTCGCCGGCGCGTTGACAGCCTGCATACAAACGTTTTGGGCGTTTTTTTTTTAATTTTTTTTATTTTTTTTTGCCGCGACAGCCACTTGTCTATCAAGACGTTGCTTGCTAGACAGTTGGCTGCGGGACTCTAGTCTAGCGCAGCTCGCAGTTAGTTCTATGAGCTTGGAAGTGTGTTGGCAGAGGCAACCTTGCAGACGGTGAACCTTAGCTACCTGCGTCTGTCTTGTCCATAAGTGGTCGATTTTGTTGCAAGAGCTCGCCGTCGGGCCCAGACAGAACAAAACCACCGACTGCGATCTCGGGGTCCAAAACAGAAGATGTGGCACCCTTGTATGGTAGCAGGCAGCGTTCATGATGTGCTACGAACCCAGTGTTACTCCGTCAGTCAGCAGTTCACCCCAAACTCGACGTTGATGAGGAAGCGCGGGATACACAGGTACGTACTCTCCCATGTCCCCGGTTGCATGGCCAATGGCATTTTGGAGATCGGGTTTTGTTTCCTGCTGCAGGGCTGGGCTGTCGCTCGCCTTGTTCTTGGCACACGAGCGACTAGCCGAAAGAAAGATGCGTAATCATCAGATCAGGCAGGTCAACGCGGCCGGAATTTTTTCATCACCGCAGCTCTTTGTGGCATCTCACTGTCTCGCTGCTCTCCAGACACCGTGGAAGTATTGAAGAGACTGTCATTACCACGATACAATTTGTCTCTATCCAAACTGTTGTCTCCCAGCGCGAATTGACATTGCTATGGACGTCATCGGTATGTCTTGATGTTGGATACGGCGATCGCGTTTCCCCAGGGCGCGCAGCTGGAACGGGGAAACCAAGCGAGCGGCGAGCGGCAGGCCGAGACGGGAAGCGTGGGTCCCTTGAGTTTTCATTACGAAATGGCTTCTCAAGAGCCGCAGCCTCAGGAACACTTCCATCCATAACGTTGGGGTCGCGATCGGCCAATTAGCAAACAGGATCTTTCTTATCTCGGACCCACCGGATTTAGTGGGTTCCTAGCAAGGTCACCCTTGCACGTTTACTGAGATAGAGATAACAGACTCTGTGATACTCGCGAATATTTGAATCACGGCACTGACTTAAAGTTTTGCAATGAATAGCTTTGTGTAAGACGCCAAATTAAGTCAACCAGGCCGCTGTCGTATGTTGCAACGCCCGAGCCATAGGAAATGAGAACACGCCACCCTGAGAGCGAACTTCATCCCTCAGCCAACGGTTGTCCACGCCAAGAACGTCCTCCACGTGACTACGGTGTACGCATGACGATGACGTCCACGCCGTCCACCCTCGTGAAAAAATCCTCCCACGCGCGGGCCCACGGTCCCCGACCCTGGGGCTGTGTCGCGCGGAGATGTGCAGCACCCATGGCAACCCGTGTACCAGGTTCCTGGCCGCGACGAGTTGGAGAAAAAGAGCCAAGGTACTGCGCGCGGTTTAAACGTCGCCCTTTGTGTCGGTTTGCCGTTTCGGGCTCATAAATGCCTAGACATTGGCTGCCCGAGGGAAATTCTGTGGAGAAGCTGCTGAGGCAGCGCGGCACTTTCTTCCCCACACCATGGAACATGCCAAAAAAATTGCAAACAGATACCAACCTTATCTGGACCCGCAGCCAATGAGAGTCGACGGCCGCGACGACGACTCGCCAAGTGCCAAAAGTTTGCTCGCTTCGCTGTTAATCCTGCTCCACGGCCGGACTATACTCAAGCCTGCTGGCCGTTAATCATGACGTCTTTGCGCTTGTCGACTGTTTCTTCTGACTCTAGATTCGGATCAAGGGAACAATGATATTGTGCGAGATGGCAGATGAGGAAAACCGTGATCAACCAATATGGTTTTGGGCGCATTCCATCAAATGCTGGGTGCTGCGCGCCTATAACCCTAACCCTGACGCCAACGGTTCCCAGCCCTACAGTCTACACTCACACCCGATGCCGACGACGCTCTCCACACCAGCAGATACGGTTCCTCCCGATCCGCCCCCCACCGACAAGCCTTCATCCGGCAGTCTCGGCTGTCCGGCTGCCGAAAACGGACGGCACGTCCGCACGCCGGATCGGAGCAGGGGACCACCGGTTTCAGACGCGTCGACGCGACCGACTCGGTGCGCAGCACGACCACCGCCAGATGAAAATTCGAGTCGTAGAAGTGTTGGGAGCGTTAGCGTCATCCAGCGCGCAGTTGTGCATTTTGGGAACTTGGGGTTGTCCACCATTTATGGAGAACTTTTCCAGAGAATTTCGGGGCCCTCCAATAAGACCTCGCAACTGCGAGGAACGACGGCCTTGAAGATGACGACATTTTGATGCCCAAGTTCAGCATGCCTTAATTTCTGGAGCCGTAGTTTACAAGTTTCCCACTTCCTGATTGTCTTGATAGTGGCTAGTTAAGCTCGAGATGGCCGATTTGGAAGCAAGAGAATATCCTCTGGGCGGGCTCTGTGCCTCTTGCTCGCTCCTTGGTAAAATCGCCATCTTGACGTCCTGATACGCACACACTCTGCCAAGTCAAGATTAACACCAACCTCCGGTTCCGTAACAAGGAAATTCAAGGACTGTACACTACATCATATTCCTCCCGGCACTCTCCCGGACCCAAAACAGAACGCCGAGGCAGCCAGCAGGCCCCCCGCGGGCATGTTCATCACCGACCGCATTGGGCCTCCCAAAACGGCGACGTCGACCGATGATTATCTCCAAAAAAAAGAGCTGCATAAACTCGCTCATTCTGGATCCTAAAGATGAGCAGAGCCAAGAGCCGCCGTCTGCTCGAGCTGAATGAAACTATGCTCATCAGCCTCACCGACACTAGATACGAACACCGACCCAACCAGCTTGGCAAGCGTAGCGTAGTCCGAATTTTTTTATTTTCCCTCTCGAAACCATCTCTATTATTATTAAGGTTTCGTTGCTCTGGCGTCATCTTCACGGGGATGGAGGGACGGATCGCGGCCCATCAGACGATGACGTTGGATAACTACTCGTTTTTTGTACCCACTGAAGCAATGAAGTGGGATCGGGGCCCGGAGACTCCAGAGTTACCCCCTGGGTCGAGGTAGGTAGGATCGGTACCTGCATGAAACATGCATCACTTGCGGCACGCCGTCACTGATAAGTACGGATTCTGGATACGTGTGATGTCTGCCAAGCTCCATTTCGCTCCGGCGCGTGTCCTCCACTTCCCGTCGGTTTTAAATTCTAACGGCCAGCCTGAAAGAGGCCCTTTCTCTTAGCCTATCTGGTGGATGAGGCGGCCGCAGTGAGATAGAGAGAGAGTAAGAGACCCATCGAGAAACATCCGTATGTGAGATCGGAGGGTCTGTCTCTTATCTCGCATCGGGCGATCGCGTGACAGCCATGTGTGTAACGCCAGCCAAGACAGACAACATCGCGCCTTACATGCCATAAACTACACCAGAGACTGGGACGTTGGTGAAGTTGGTGATAAGACTAGTCAGATGAGTGCTGAACAGTCGTACATTTCAAATGGCTGGTAAATAGCCGAGGAAACTACCTACGAGTATGTAAATCTCTGTAAAGGGGTATCTCCCGACATACGTACCTAGATGGAGTAGACCATTCTTCTGCTTAATTCATCATAAACCCGACGCCTCGGCAAGTGACTCTAGCTGAAAGTAGCAGAGGAAACCAAAGAGCAGCTGAGAATTTTAGAAGCAAAAAGGGGTGAAAGGGGGACGAAACAACGCCAACGCCCATGCTATGCCATCCTGTCCCAACCATTGCCGTCCCTGTCATTCGTATGTCCGTTCATCATCCATCATGCTCATTACCATTACCCACACCCGTGACCTTGCCAAATCCCGAACACTTAAGCACAAGTGAACAAATGCAGCCAGTACAAAAAAAACAGCCTAACAATTCTCAGAAGATCATTAGCTCATCTTCGCCTCCAGGCCTGCTCCTCGCAAGCTCATACATCAACAAGGTATGATCTTTATAATGTAAGATCAACCTCCAAAGAGCAGGCCAACTCTGCCCGGCTCTGGCACCTGCTGAAGGCGCCAACCTCATCCCCGGGGCCCGCATATGCGGCACGGGTGAACACGCCACGCCGATGAGAGAGCACAACGGCCTGAGCATCCTCTCTTCCTCTTCCCTGCGAGGCAGGACACGGTCAACGCGGAAAGCGCGGCGCACAGGGACCTCGTGGATGTGCTTCTGCGAGCTTGTCGGGGTGAGCAGAGCCACGCGCCCTGTGGGCGAGCCAGCGATAACGAGATTCAATTCAGGAACACGCAGCAACATGCTGACGCGTTCAGTGTAATGCGAACTAAAATCGTAAGGGAATGAAGGAAGATAATTTGTGTTTGAGAGCTTCAGGGGTGGTTGATGCGGAAGAAGATGTCGGAAGTCGACCGTTGACATGGTTTTCTTGAGCGGGCGGAGACGAATGTCAGTTGGATTGCCAATCAAAAGATGAAAGTTCTTGGTTAAGTGTGGCGAAAGTTCTGCATCGGCAAATGCAATCGGCCGGACGGCCCTCCTTCGCTTCACAAGCCCATTGGTGCTGAAGCTAGTCCAATCCTCTTCCGTTTCTAAGGTGGTGATCTCACCGGATAGTGGGACGATAACGCGCGCAAGCCGAGAATCATCCAGCTTCTCCAGGCTTTCTTCAGGGAGCGATTCATCGGGAGATAGACTGCTAGAGACTGGGAATTCCGACACGGCTCCACATTCAGAAGCTAGCTCGTCATCTGTCTGTACCATCGTGTCTTCATCCTCATCAACATGCTCATAGCCAAAAGAGTCATCGGTGTCTGACAATTCATCAGCATCTGAGTGATCTGAAATCTCACCCTCACCTCCGTGATGTAGTTTGGAGGCGTCATCGTGAAGTTGTATGAAATTGGTATGAGGAGGACCTGGACGGTCACGAAGAAGTCGCCGAACGTCACTGGACAACTCTTGATGTACCACAACCCACAAGTAATGTCCAGGCCTCCTTTGGCATCAGGTATATCGTCGGGAGGCGGCCTCAAGGCTACCTCCTTCGCGGGGAGCCCCAGGCATTCACGGATATTGTCTGTCGGTCGGAAAGCGCTGTCTGGGAGCACCATAATGCCCCAACCTTCGGCACGGCGCCTGGAAAGAACCACGCCATTAGCGACTGCTTGAGTCAGTCCTCCTGGGTAGGGCCAGAAAGAGTACCATGTATTTTCTGCATGGAGGTACGGTGCGTCCATCTGGTTACGCAGCATGATTGGCTGGGCACCGATCGTCCAGATATCCAACAACCAGACATTTGCCCAAATGTCGATGGCAACAACTTTTTCCGCTTCACCATGCTCGTCGTCCAAGAAGGAAATATTGGGGATGTTGTGGCCTTTGCTAGACAAATTCATCACAATCCTCCAGGTCCTGTTCCGCGATCTGAGATCACTCTGCAGTTCCTGGTTTTTTTGATCTGTACTTGCGCTTGGCCTCTGAGAAATGGAATCATTCACAGCGCCGTTGCGTCTGAGGGCGAACGCGAAGACAGTCACTTCGTACTGATTCGAGCTGACAGCAATTAAGCGGGACTGCTTGTGAATTGCTATGCCCCATGCGGTTGACTGTACGTTGTCATGGAAGAAGGGCTTCGGTACAGGAATGGAGCGACGCCGAGCCTTTGTTGGACTGCGGTTTTTTGCCTCGTTCGCTTCGATGTAGGAGACTATGGTTTCAGAGTAGTAAGCAACCACATCTCCATCATCATAGGCAGCCAGTACAATTTCAAGGTTGCCAAGATCGCCCACAATCAGATGGTTGATTTGGTGGGGACGGTTGCTGAAGACGGACTGTCGACACAAACTGGCAAATTGAGAGGCTGATGGGGAGAGAATTGCTGAAGGAGATGAAGGCAGAATCTGCGGCCCTCGCCGGGGCTGGTACACATAAATGCAGGACCCATAGGCGACAAAGTAAAGCTGTGGCAGCAGTTAGCTACCATTCGACTCGGTAGTTTAAATCTTGACGTACGTTGAAGTGCTGCGAAAGCGCCGTCAGGTTGTTCCTGGCCGACGCGATGCGCGGGAAGTTTCCGTTCGGGGAATTCGAGGAATTATCCGACGCGTCACCAGCAGACGAGTCGAATGACTCCTCTTCATAGCTGTAGTCGTCGTCAAACAAACCCTCGTCTGTATCTTCGTCTGTCTCTGAGTTGAACTCTTGGAAGTCCAAGTCCGCCCAGTCATCGGTGTCGAAGCCTTGCATGAGCCAACTGCGAATACCGGGCCTCACCTTAGGACCGAACTGGGGGAACAAAGGTATCAATCAGCAAATCGATCGCGGGAAGATACATGAGCATGAAAATCAACAACATAGAAAAACAACTTACCCGGTCCTCTGCAGTCTGCACGTAGCAGTTAGGGCCTACGTAGACTTCGGGGTAGACTTCCTGGGTATCTGCACTGTCCGATGCCATTATGGTCGCGCTACGCTCCGTTGCCCGCTGCGAAGTATTCTCTATCTCCACAGATCATATCTTGGCGTAATGAATGAAAGCGTGGGTTGCTTGCTGGAGAATGCGCGCGCAGTTAAATATACCGGGTGCAGGTAGACGCGCGAAAGTTGGAGGCTTGCGGGAGCTTGCGAAATGATCAGTCGGTTGTGGGAGTTGAAGGAGGGGACCATCCGATAAGATAGCCACACGGAGGCTCTTATCGATAAGGATGCAAGATCAAAATAACGACGTCATCGTGGGGTCAGCACAACGACAGCTTCGTCAAAGTCAGGTAAGCATGCAATTGGTCCATGACAAATCGACAACATGAGCAGCAAAATGACAAAATTCAAGTTTTATCTCGCTAAGTGGTAACATAGCCAACAATTAATGCATTCTAACTGATGTGACAGTCAAGCAACAGATCCGTGGTTAACATGGAGTTACAGTGCTACCGACTGCTCAACATTATAGCTGCCCAAGGGTTTTATCACGGGCCAACTCAACTGAATCTGCAACCAGACCACGGGGTGTCCAAAAAAAGTACACTGGTTAGTGAGGCCTCTCAGCTGTTCAACTTCGGTCGCCCATTATCTCCGTAAGATCTTTCAACCGGTAGTCCAGCACCGGGGTCATCCAGTCATCCTCCACCAGCGAATACATCTCCCTCTCATCCTTCTTCCGGTTCACCTTTCGTGGATTCAATGCCCAATACCCAAAATCTGCATCTACTTCCTTTAGAAAGCGCACCAAGTTTGCCCAGTAGTTCGCATCCCCCTTATTAGGATGATCTGGCGCTCCAAACTCCCCTACCCACACGGGCGCAACGTCGCCCTCCAGCAGATAAGCCCAATTCTTCCGCATGGATCGCGCAAACGACTCGTAGGAGCGCCGAGAATAAGAGCCCTCAATACTGCCCCATCCGCTCCACGAGTACACATGCGCCTCGTACACCACGCGGTTGGGCACAGCCAGCATGATGGGGCGTTTAGCCACTCCGGAGAGGTCATTGTTAGACTCAGTGCCGCCGACGATGATCAACCAGTTGGGGTTGAGCTTGAGCAGTGCGTTTCCGGCCTTTTCTGCTGCTGCTGCCCACTTTTTCCAGGGCATGGTGCCCCAGAGCCCGCGGACCTCGTTGCGAAGGTCGGCTCCGATAACCAGAGAATTGTTGACAACGCGGCTCATCACTGTCTTCCAGTGTTGGATCCATTCCTCTTCTGTCTGTCTGACCCGACAGATTGACTTCGGCAGGTAATCATTCGCCCAGCCAGTATCGCACAAGTCTAAACCACAACACCACGTCGCCCGCGTGATATGGTTATTGACAATCACGGCAATTCCCTGCACGGTTAGAGCCTCAGCCACGGCAATAAATACATCCAGCGCCCTGGCACCCAGCAGGTCTGGGTTCGCAGCAACAGTCTTGTTTTCAACGACCGGATTTTCGATGACCATCTCATCGCTGTACGGTAAGCGCACCGAATTGAATCCCATGCGCCGAATCGCGAGCGCAATCTCGTCGCGGTGCCGAGTGTCCAGCCCGCCAGGTACGAACAGTTCGTCGGAGCCTCCATACCAGTTGATGCTGGCCAACTTGAAGCGGCGGCCTGTTTGGTCGACGATGTAGCGCCCCTTTGTGCGTAGTGGCAGCTGGTAGGGCGGGGAGGTCGAGTCCGGGAAGGACTCGGTGATAGGCTGGGGCAGGGATTTTCGCTGGCTGAAGAGGAGGGCTGCTCGGTCGGGTACCCAGCGAACGGAGAGTACTGCTTCGACGCGATATATGTGGAGGAAGAGGACACTTGCGACTGCGAGCAGGGCTAGGAGCAGCCACCGCTTAACTCGGTTTCTCATTGTTGGTTTGACAGGCAGGCTAGCGCCTTGTAAGCAGGTCCTCACAGTATATTAGATAAATAAGTGCGTAGACACCCGGCCAGCAGCTGTATCTGGAGAGCCATAGAGGGACGAAGGAGTTGTCGGGCTCATCCAAAGCTTGAGGAATAGAAATCCGGTGGCCAGCCAAGCAATAAAAGGTAAGTATGCTGAAAATAATGGGTACTTTCAAGAGATGCAAGGATAGCAATAGAAGCAAGTTGCTTAAGCCTAAACGGTTCCCGATCACAAGCCAGTAATCTGGCCAGAAGCTGTGCCGCCGCTCCTGTGCAGTACTTAATGCTACCCGCAGGTTGAGCGGGCGAAGATCTCCCATAGAGTTTTAAAGTTCTAAACCGTCAGCGGCCCTTTGTTGGTCTGGCCTCAGGTCAAGCATCGGCAACCGTATGTCACCTGGGCAAGACCGACGGTGAAGTGGCCTGGACTGTTCCAAGGGAAGCCTCGAGTGCAGCACCTGTTGCCCCAGAAGGTCACCCAAAATGGTCCCTGTCGGTGGCTCTGGTGACTTAATTGATGATTCCTAGAAGCCTGGCCGATTGACAGCGCTCAGCCACCTCCTATGGAAGTAAGTACCTCAGGCAATAAAGAACAACTGCAAGGAACTTTGGCTACAAGTCTTGGCAAGGGCACTGGCATATTGATGGGAGCTTTGAGTAAGACTACTTATTGTTGGATCTTTCTCGATCGACATCTTCTTCACAAGCAGCTCTACCGCTACCAAAATAGAGTGCTATATCAAGCCCTGGGTATCGATGCTTGACGTCTTTTTTAAGGCCACCGGAAAGCTACAACCTGACATGTCTGGATGTGGCTCTTAGATACCTCCGATACTCTGGTCTTCTAACAGGCTAGCAGCCAGGATAATTCATTATCAAGGTGGCACAAGCACATACACCAAGTAATGCTCATCAAACCAAGATCCGGTGGTGTTAAATTGTAACCAAACATTTGCCGCCGTCCAACATTCCCAAGCCGTGGATGGTATCATACATATGCAGCGGGTATTATAGACAAGAGCCCCCACAAAAACTTCACTGACCGAAAAAATCTTCCCACGTAGAAAGAGTGCCCTACATGATAAGACGCACGATGTCGGACATCGTGGATGCCCGAGTCAAATCACTCCCTCGCCGCTCTAATCCCCTACTCGGCCTCTCCGGAACTTGCATGGTGCTGCATGCCGCCCTCCCGGCCGTAATCATCGGTGACTGGTCAGCCCTGCCGGCCCAGGCCAGAGCAATTGGTCGGTAGAAGGCTTCCAACCCCTCCCACCACTCCTGTTTCCCACATTGGCAGCTGGGCCCGCATCATCTCATGCTTCCCCATTCAGGCAAGGGAGAGCAGAGTAAGGCTCAAACCTGCATGCTTCATGCTTCTGCATTCTTGCCTAACTGTCCGGGCATATCCTTCAGCCAGTCCTTCTTTCGATTTCCCCAAACGCCAGCCTGGTCTATCCTCCTTTTTGACCCCGCTGATATTCCATATCCTGACCTATTCAACCGACCAGAAAGGAAATTCATTGTTGAAGCGAGTGCTATGATCTCGTCTATAGCGATTGGGACGTGACGCCCTGGAGAAAACAGGCGTTATATACAACGGTCCGGTGAAAAGGTAAATGTGTAAGCTGAATCAAAACGCGGTTGGTAGTTCGGCAGCGCCTGTAGCCGCTTGCTTGTGGTTACACGTTCGGCGGATTGGCAACGACTTGAACAAATGGCCGGAAAATTAGATCATTTACGGCCTCGTTTGGCCATTCAGACCTTGTGCATGCCCAGTGGATTCACATAACCGCCGGGTCCGGCGTTCGGTGGGGAATAGGGTCTCGCGAACGTTTCGGAGGGATCCCATCTGACCGACTGTGGCGGACGCGGGCTCGAGAATGACCTCACGGGGGCGTTGTACCGCGCGGTCTGGCCGAAGAAGTCGGGGGTACGACGCCCGCTGTTGCCGTTGTTGTTGTTGTCGAGGATATTGTTCCACACATAATCGTTCTGACGCGCTGGGCCCCCCACCGGCGACGACCTAGCGTAGGTCGGGGACAGAGGAGTCACTGCGGATGGTGTTACTGAACTGTCCATGGTCTTCCCGGAATCCCGGGACAGCATCTCGTACGAACGTGTATCTTTCTTAACATCATCCAGCCGAGCATCGACTGAGACGAATTCCCTTTTGTTCCGGTTGGGAACAGAAATGATGAGATCACGCCATCCCGTAAACATCGACCAGCGGCCGAGGAAGAAGAGAAGCCAGATGCCGTTCATCTGTACACAGTGTTAGCAACCCATCTTATGGACAGTGTATAAAGGCTCAAGTGGTGTACCCCTAGCAGGAACAAAACAGCGCCAACCGTCGGCATGCTGACCGCAAGTGCACTGGCTTCGTTAAGGCACGCGTTCTTATCGCCTTTGTTGGTGATGAGGCAGAGCGCCCAGGGGAGCGCGACTCCTGGATTCTGTTTAACTCGTTCTACAGTCGTGTCCTGATAGACGAAAACGATTGAAAAGAAGATAACGTCGGCAATGATGATGAGCACAATGGCAATGCCACGCCACTGAAGAGCAATAACGCGTCGAACACGACGGTAGGCCTGCTTCGGAGTCATGGTCCGGATGCTGTTTGTATAGGAGGGCATGCCGGAGCCTTCGGTCGAAGCACTGTTGTCAGCCAGCGAGGCGAGGTACACCTTAATGCAGTAGCCGAACGTCGTCATCTGGATTATGATGGTCAAGCCGGCAAAGACCAGTAGGGGAACCCAGAGGTCGGCCAGACTGTTCTTGTGGTTGATGTGGCACGTGGCGCCGTAGCGGAACGACACGCCGCTCAAGAACAGGGCGCACACAACGCCGACTGCGGGGATGCCCCAGCCGAGGGCCTGCGAGAACCACATGAAATTGCGCCCGACGACGAGCTGCCAGCAGATCTGCAGGTGCAGCGACAAAGACCGCAAGAACACCCACATCACGCCGGCCCAGCCGCCAACGATGAGGAAGAAGCCTGAGACGGCACAGATCGAGCTTGTGCTCATCGAGTGTGGCGTGATAGCGTCGTAGCATTCTTCGGGCTTCGAGGCCAAGGGGATGACGAAGCCCAGCTATACCACTTAGTATCCTCATACCGACAAGGTTAAAAACAAGGGCACAACGTGAAACTTACGTTCATCAGCAAGACTGCTGTAGTAAGGCAGATACTCAGGTAGTGCCGGAAGGTCTTGTCTACCGGCAGCACGGCCCATGAGAGTAGGAGGAAAATGCAGCAGACGCTGCCCGCAACAGCGACCCAGTTGGCCGCCGTGCTCATGGCGGTGAATGAATCAGGATAGGCCCATTGTGTAATGGGGCATGGTAGGCAGCAAGTGAGGTTGCCCAGGGGCGAGCATATCCTCCCGTCCACGACTGGAGCGCGAGTCAGCAGTCCGAGCTAGCCAGCTGGGGGTCAGATGGAGTGTTTTGTTTACTTACAGCCTTCATTGGTGAAATATTCATCGGAGAGAAAAGGCGCGGGGCAATCCATCGTGATCTTGGCCCCTCTGGGCTCTTTCAGCCTTCCAACACGTCACTCAACGTAATCGTTACCCTCACAGTTGATCCCAAAATCGATGGCCTCAGTCCGACCGTCCCTCGAAACCCAGCTCCAAGACCCGTATCAAGCCACGCACAATCACCAAATCGGTTGAAGTTGAAGAATTGGCAGCGATAATCGGTTCTCGTAGTAAGAGCTATGCGCTCAGCACGGAGTCATGAATCCATTCCAACCCAAACACACTGTTACTCGAATCTGGCAAGGAGGGATGTGGGATGTTATCGTGGAATTGATTGTGTCGCCAAAGGAATAATTACAACTCGTGTCTTGATCGTTTGTGTCGATATTCGAGTATGGTGTGTCTGCTTCAGCGGTGATGCTAGAATCAAGGCGTCTCCAGGGCAGCCCGAAAGAGCGGATGGTGGTCTTTCGATGAGATAGAAGGCGAGATCTACACGTCAAAACAGGGAGCGACTTCGAGGAGACCGCCGTAAGGTTACATACAAGGTGAGGCAGAAGAGAAACAAAGAGAGTATGAACAAGAGGTCAGGGAAGGGTAGTGGAGGGGGGTGTGGGACATTTGTAAGGTAGGGTGCTTTACAGAAGGTGAAGCCCCGGAGGAGACGACGGAGAACGATGCGACGCTACACCATAATGGAGGATGGGCCTCGATGGGACCCGGCCGGAGACCACGGTGCATTGCCATGGCCATCATCCATCATGGACCGTGGGCTGGGCTTGTGGACTTGTCCTCGTGGGCCCGCGGTTACTACAGTGTGGATGGCGGCGCCATCGCATCGAGTCGAGATCTGGCGCCCTCGCCTACATGCTGGCTAGCCCAGCTACGACAAGACGAGGAAGAACTCCATGGACCGTGGAGGGGGGTGTGTGTGCGATGTGACGTGCGTGGTGTGTGCGCGTTGGGTCGCCCCATGCATTTTCACTGGTTACGCCGTTGTTAGGCCACATTGGCGAGGAAGAAGCCAAGCACCGAAGCTCCGTCCTGCAACATCCAATCGTCCAACTGTCGGCCATTTCCCCAATGTGGACCGACCTGCAAGGGGCCAGACGGAAGACACGACCTAGTGAAAAGGGAGAAGGGCTCGGAGAGCTTGCGATGAGGACTGTCGACCGCACTACTCCGAGGTTGGATCGAAGCTGCAGCCCTTCTCTGATTGGCTGCTAAGGGTCTGCCCGTGCAACCAGGGTCCGAGTGGGTCCATCAAGGTCCCAGCAGGGGCTCCGTCGGTCCCAGCCTTGATGGTGGAGTAGGAGGGGCTGCGGGAAGGTCAAAACGTGCAAGACGGTTGCCAGACGACCCCCTGCTCGGAAGTCAAGGCGCAGGCTTCCTGCCCTATCGGGCCAGTCAGCGCAGGCCTTGAGGGTTTTTGCTCGCTGCTGGCTGACTGCAGCGGGCGGCCCCCCTGTCTTGGCCTCTTCGGGCCCTGCCTGAGGAAAACCTGGTCCACCGGATTGCTTGGCTGGTGGTGCTCAATCCCGTTCCCGCTCTTGCGCCATGCTCTCTCTCATTCGTCAACGTTCGTTATGGAATGCCCGCCGACTCGCTGTTTTTCAAGTGTTCAATCTGCTTCCTGGCTGACGCATTCGCACTGTCTGAGGTTCGAGTTTGACCTGCGCCGCCAACACAACTCGCTGCCCGCTGGTGCGAATCTGCGATGCTGACAAGACCGTTGATGAAGAACCACTGCTATAGCCATCACCAAACGATGGTAACACTTACACAATCGATCGCAACGGATGCGATGAAGATCAGATTTGGTTGTGTTGCACCATCCATATCGCCCAGGCGATGGGGTCCTGATGATATGCTCGCCCCCTTGCACACACCACTGTCATCAGCTCCCAGGTGTCATGCAGCACGCAGTAAGAAGTAACGCGCCTCTCTCAAGGCTGATGACCTATCTATCGATCTGGACTGCGTGGCCTCCACGCCGACAGCTGTCCAGGCAATTGCCACCGCAGGAATCAAGCAGCTTTGCGACGCCGGCGCACAACATGAGCAACGTACATGTCGATTCGCCCGTCTCCGACGGGCAAGGCCGCACGTATGTCATCTGTATCCCGGTATTTAGGGAGGACAAGCATTGCTGCAACTTGGAACGATAGCGTTGTGAAATGCAAAGAGTCACAAGGAACATCTTAGTTGTCCCAAGACTCAATCCACGGCTTCTACGGCTTCATGAGAGGACGAGAAGGAAACTATCCAGTCCCACCTCTAGTGTAAGCGTGCCGGCCATAGCAGCCCAACAGTGAGGTCGCGATGCTGTCTCGGACGTCTCCGACTACCCAGCTGCATCTACAAGTCAACAAGCCTCACGGTTCTAAAGTGTTCTGTCTCCCCGAAGGAAGCTAGCTGGAAGACGACGTCGCCACGAGTGGCGGCTGTTTCACAACGTGATTAGACGCCATCGCTTCCTCCGAGAGACTAGACGGATGAATGCAGCTTTTCCCGTGGCATCTTGGCTACCGAAGCACCGTGCTGACATCGCAGCTAATGTTCACACTACACTAGTTTCATAGGAATCCTACCTGTATATGTTCCGGATTTTCGAATTCGAGGTATGTCTGTGCGCGTCTCTTTCGGAATGCTGCTCCCGAAAGTCTGGGATATGTGTCGATAAGTAAGAACCCTACCCGGTTCGATGCTTAGACTGGTCAAGGAAGCCCCTATCTTCTTTTTGATGCCGTCTGACGATACACAGCGACCATTCGGGGCGTACGAAGAGATGAAGACCGATTGCTTGCTGATGTCAGAGCTGCTGGACTGCACCGATCCCGCGGTTCTTTTTCGTCCTCGCTGCGACTCATAGCGAGTGCTCAGGCTTCTGCTCTCTCAATTGCTTAAACGCAAGGGCAGTTATTGTGCAGGTAGAAGGCTGACATCACAGCCCCCCAATCATCAGCGAGAGGTCGGACAAGAATAGGACTAAGTGCGTATGTCAATTCTTGAGTATCTGATTAACGATCGCCCCGTTCCTCCGGCATCAAGCCATTGCTGTGTAGCGGCCCTCAGCGATCCATCTGCCAGGCCAAGAGATGGCTTCTCACTATATGGATTACGCAGACGCTAACACAGTGTCAGACTTCAAAACCACGCTGTATTCGCTGTCCTTCCCCGAGCTGGCTGCGCCGCATCCGCTCTTGGCAACGTGGCTTGTACATCTCGGCGGTCTCCAAAATGGCAGGAGACAAAAGGCTTGGGGTTCCCCAAGGTCTCGTCGTTATCGTTGTCATCAAATTAGCCATCCTCGACGCTCGCCGACTATTTACTGCTTTGGTACATTCTTTGCTCCCCCGCTTATGTTGAGGACCAACAAGGTAACAGCAGCTCCAATCTTCTCAATGGCTAACGAACGGTCGAGATGGAGGATGTTCTGTGGAAAAACGACGAATCACAACTCGCTCAGCATTCCATGCGCCCCTTCAAAAGCACACCTCGCTTCGTTTGGGTGGGTAGGTGGCATGATGTGCCCCTGGTATCCAATGTGGGTAATTGTTATGGGTCAAAAAAGCCTGTGATTGGTTAATTTACCCATGGTGTGAAAATTACTGTATTAGGATGTATGTGACTGACGGTGGACTCGGTGTCGACATCCTGAGCTCGTGAAGTTTTGAGTTTTGAATCATGAGCTCGAACGAGATTCGCTCTCACAGTCGATCAGAGCATTGGTCGCAAAAGGAGAAAACATCACCATTCGAGCAAACACTGCGCGCCGATCAGCTGTTTTCGATGCGTTTGGGGTATCGCCGATCTCTCCAATTGCATCAACTGCATGGCTCCAAAGCCGGCGCCGACGGTCATCAAACCAGGCCAGGCTGGAAAATGCGGGGTTAGCTTCACGCCAATTCTAAAGATCTCAACGGTCTTGATGACCCTTGCAGGCTTTCACGAGGGAACGCCGCGGAATCTGGAGAGGCTCAACTCGCCATGTGAAGCCGATGCTAGACACCAAAAGCAAGATCACCGTCCACCTCTCCGCATCGGCGCCCCATCTTTGACCATCGTTGACAGCTGCCTGCACTTCCCCAGATTCCATTTCCCCGCGATCGACCCAACCGGCTGGATGGCGGCGTCACGAGATCGGGGAATGGGCTGAGGGGAGAGATCGTCGATGACGCTAGCAAATGGGCTTTGGTAAACGTCAATGTTCCAGATCCTGCACACCCAGTTTCTCCTCTTTTTTGTTTTTTTTCCAAATGTCGTCTTCTTTCTCTCGGGGTTACACCTATCCCAAACAGAATCTGCCTTGGTAATCGGGTCGCACAGCGGGCTGGATGCGACGGATGGAGGGACGGCAGATCTCATCCAGCACATAGCCAAGCAGATCCAGTTGCGTGGTCCGGGAACACCACGACTGCAGGTCTCTATGCGCCCACAGCATGAACTTAGCACGAACAACCAAGCGATCGATTTGAAGATATCACCTCCATGTACACTACACTAGCCAAGTGTGCTCAAGTCACCAAATACCGAGGGCTCCATGCCGACCCAGCAGCCGTCTTCCGTAAGACGGTGTTTAACAGGTAAAGCAAGTCAGCTTCGGCAATGTATACATTGCGATCGCTAGCCCCCAAACGGCGGCAGACACTCAATTCTGTTGTGATGTCTGTACGAGTATTTTGTGCAGTAGCATCGCTGTCCCGTAAAGTGTGCCATTGACAAGTTTGATTTGTTGCTCTGGAAGTTTGTCGCTACCAACTTTGGGCGCATTAAGACGCCATATTATAGGGGACTGACCCAGTGCCGAGCTCTCACGCTGTCGAGAGGAAGAAGCGAGAAATTAATCCTGCATACGGCCTGTCGTTCAGCCATGCTTTCTCTTCCATTCTACCCACGCCTTCGGATGCTGCACTGCAGCACTGCTGACTTGCGGCTGGGCAATTTCGTCTAAGTGGACCACCCGTACATTCGCTTCTCATCGCGAGCGTGCTTTTGGTTGACATGTACCATTCCAGCTTACCAGCAGTCT